AATGTATAAATTCACTACATCTCAACAAATAGTTTCATGTTCAAACACCAGCCGCTTTAAACTATAAGATTCGCGTTAAAATCTCTCCTCTTTGTTCCCTCGTCTGTGTCTCCCTGTCTCCCCCTGCAGTGTAACAGATGTGTTGTTTAGTAAAATCCCACGCATGCGCGATACATTCAAAAATACTTTTTCACCGTGGAAGGGAGATTCTTAGATCTCTCCCCAACCCCAAATAGACGGTTAACAGTCCTGCTGTACCTCCGTTTCCCCCTCATAGTCAAACAACATTTAACAGCGCTCACAAAACATAGAACCGAAATTCCACATACAAACATAATTTAAGAGGCTTTATTCCCATCGCAGTGGACCTCTACGGTCACATGTTAGCATGCAGCATATTAGCATTAGCATTAGCATTTAGCCTTAGCCTGTATGCACCATGTAGCATAAAAACAATGTACCCGACATTGCGTCTTTAATTACTTTTACCTTTGTCCTAACTTTAGGCTGCCGTGAGTTCTGGATATTTTATATGAGCGGTCCCCCCCAAGCAGATATCCCGTCGGACAGAAGATGGGCAAGCAACCCCCACTAAATCTACAACCAAACCCCAGTCTAAGACTGACCTGAAACCCATAACGCGTTACCAGGATTTTATGGCCCACCATGCGGTCGCCTCGTTGAGGGCTTATCAAATCCTGCAATGTCCTAACTTGTATACATATCTTGGCCCCGATTGTTCTTGACTTACTATTCAAGCAACACATCTCTATAAACAATCCATAAGCTCTACCCACTTTTGCGCTGTTTTTAAAAATGTATAATGATTAGCCAGACCCCCAGTCATCAGCAATAACGCCACACGAGGCACGGTCGTATGGTACATTTCTCCAGTGTACAATCACATAGCATCCAAACTAACAATCTGTGAGGAAAACTCACCCTTTTCTGGCACTTCAGACCGAGTTAGCTTGGCGGCAACGAATGCAACAAAGAAGATTTGCAGACCAGCCCCACGTTGGGCGCCATTTGTCGTATCGGGTGAATGGTGGCAATTATTGCTGATGAACAAAGGAGTCCGCTCATACTGAACTTGGATCATAAGGTTTATTCATATCACAAGCTTCAGCATAAGTGACAGATGTCATGACATCCGGAGAGCGACGCCTCAGAATGGCCGCTCTGCCCTCTCCTTCGTTTTTCCCCCCAGTATATATAATCTCCCCAAGATGTGGGTGGCTCCCTCTACTGTCCAATCCCCTGTCTACAACACACTTCCTGTCTGTTGTATGTGGCGTTACACTAAAACATTCCCTCTTGATACTAAAATCAACATTCTTTCAGTTCCACTTAAAAACATTTAACAAAGGCATAATCCCAATACACGACAGATGTAACAGTGCATGTTATATGTACTACTGCTCTCTCCTCGTCTGACCATGTGTTCTCGCATACCCCGAGAGCATCTGGTCAGAGGGGTGGTGGCACAGGAATCCTCATCTTTCCCAAGTGGACATTCTCAATTTTTCCCCTAACCCATCTGTCTATCTCCTCATTTGAATTCCATGCTGTCACAGTCACTAGCCCATTTAAGCTTAATATCCTTGTCATCTATCGCCCTCCAGGTTCCCTTGGAGAGTTCATCAATGAGCTTGACGCCTTGATAAGTTCCTTTCCTGAGGATGGCTCACCCCTCACAGTTTTGGGGGATTTCAACCTCCCTACGTCTACATTTGACTCATTTCTCTCTGCCTCCTTCTTTCCACTCCTCTCCTCTTTTGACCTCACCCTCTCACCGTCCCCCCCTACTCACAAGGCAGGCAATACGCTTGACCTCATCTTTACTAGATGCTGCTCTTCTACTAATCTCACTGCAACTCCCCTCCATGTCTCCGACCACTACTTTGTATCCTTTTCTCTCTCGCTCTCCTCCAACACTACTCACTCTGCCCCTACACAGATGGTAATGCGCCGCCGCAACCTTCGCTCTCTCTCTCCCACTACTCTCTCCTCTTCCATCCTATCATCTCTTCCCTCTGCTCAATCCTTCTCCCTCCAATCTCCTGATTCTGCCTCCTCAACCCTCCTCTCCTCCCTTTCTGCATCCTTTGACTCTCTGTGTCCCCTATCCTCCCGGCCGGCTCGGTCCTCCCCTCCAGCTCCGTGGCTTGATGACTCATTGCGAGCTCACAGAACAGAGCTCCGGGCAGCTGAGCGGAAATGGAAGAAAACTAGACTCCCTGCGGACCTGGCATCTTTTCACTCCCTCCTCTCTACATTCTCTTCATCTGTTTCTGCTGCTAAGGCCACTTTCTACCACTCTAAATTCCAAGCATCTGCCTCTAACCCTAGGAAGCTATTTGCCACATTGTCCTCCCTGCTGAATCCCCCCCCCCTCCTCCCTCTCTGTGGATGACTTCGTCAACCACTTTGAAAAGAAGGTTGACGACATCCGATCCTCGTTTGTTAAGTCTAATGACACTGCTGGTCCTGCTCACACTGCCCTACCCTATGCTTTGACTTCTTTCTCCCCTCTCTCTCCAGATAAAATCTCACGACTTGTGACTGCAGGCCGCCCAACAACCTGCCCGCTTGACCCCATCCCCTCCTCTCTTCTCCAGACCATCTCCGGTGACCTTCTCCCCTACCTCACCTCGCTGATCAACTCATCCTTGACCGCTGGCTATGTCCCTTCCGTCTTCAAGAGAGCGAGAGTTGCACCCCTTCTCAAAAAACCAACACTTGATCCCTCTGATGTCAACAACTACAGACCAGTATCCCTTCTTTCTTTTCTTTCCAAAACTATTGAGCGTGCCGTCTTTAGCCAACTCTCTTGCTATCTCTCTCAGAATTACCTTCTTGACCCAAACCAGTCAGGTTTCAGGACTGGTCATTCAACTGAGACTGCTCTTCTCTGTGTCACGGAGGCTCTCCGCACTGCTAAAGCTAACTCTCTCTCCTCTGCTCTTGTCCTTCTAGACCTGTCTGCTGCCTTTGATACTGTGAACCATCAGATCCTCCTCTCCACCCTCTCCGAGCTGGGCATCTCCGGCGCGGCTCACTCTTGGATTGCGTCCTACCTGACCGGTCGCTCCTACCAAGTGGCGTGGCGAGAAGCTGTCTCCGCACCACGTGCTCTCACCACTGGTGTCCCCCAGGGCTCAGTTCTAGGCCCTCTCCTATTCTCGCTATACACCAAGTCACTTGGCTCTGTCATATCCTCACATGGCCTCTCCTATCATTGCTACGCTGACGATACACAACTAATCTTCTCCTTTCCCCCTTCTGATAACCAGGTGGCGAATCGCATCTCTGCATGTCTGGCAGACATATCAGTATGGATGACGGATCACCACCTCAAGCTGAACCTTGGCAAGACGGAGCTGCTCTTCCTCCCAGGGAAGGACTGCCCGTTCCATGATCTCGCCATCACGGTTGACAACTCCGTTGTGTCCTCCTCCCAGAGTGCGAAGAGCCTTGGCGTGACCCTGGACAACACCCTGTCGTTCTCCGCTAACATCAAGGCGGTGACCCGATCCTGCAGGTTCATGCTCTACAACATTCGGAGAGTACGACCCTGCCTTACACAGGAAGCGGCACAGGTCCTAATCCAGGCACTTGTCATCTCCCGTCTGGATTACTGCAACTCGCTGTTGGCTGGGCTCCCTGCCTGTGCCATTAAACCCCTACAACTCATCCAGAATGCCGCTGCCCGTCTGGTGCTCAACCTTCCCAAGTTCTCTCACGTCACCCCGCTCCTCCGCACACTCCACTGGCTTCCAGTTGAAGCTCGCATCTGTTACAAGACCATGGTGCTTGCCTATGGAGCTGTGAGGGGAACGGCACCTCCGTACCTTCAGGCTCTGATCAGTCCCTACACCCAAACGAGGGCATTGCGTTCATCCACCTCTGGCCTGCTGGCTCCCCTTCCTCTGCGGAAGCATAGTTCCCGCTCAGCCCAGTCAAAACTGTTCGCTGCTCTGGCACCCCAATGGTGGAACAAGCTCCCTCACGGCGCCAGGACGGCGGAGTCGCTCACCACCTTCCGGAGACATTTGAAACCCCACCTCTTTAAGGAATACCTGGGATAGGATAAAGTAATCCTTCTACCCCCCCCCCCCCAAAAAAAAAAAAGCGTCTGCTAAGAGCGTCTGCTAAATGACGTAAATGTAAATGTAAAATGTACATATTTACATCCACCCCCATACCTACACCCTCACAGACATTTTTCCATCACACATTGTACATTGCTTACAGGTCTCTATTTTGCTCTAATACTTCCCTATATTGTTAGGCATGCTTACTCCATCAGTGAAGCTTAAACACCAAAACATGCCTTATGCATTTATAGTCATATACAAGCCTCACCCATTTTAGAGTAACTCATCTTCAGATGAAGTTGCTCAGCAGAACATAAAAGAAAGGAAGGAGGAAATACATAAAAGTGTCTGACCTCTAGCCCTGAAACACACCAAACCACATCCCACACAATTACAAGGGCCAGATATGCCTGTTGTGCCCATTGCCTACCGTATGCTATTGGAGAGCAATACAACAACACTGAAACTGACCATATATCATGCTCATGGACCATTAGATACTGTACAAATTGATTACCATTAGAAGATTTTCACCAGACCTTCAAAATATGTCTATAAAGTACTTTATCATAAACAACAAGACATTTCATAACAGAATGTAATCATCCCAAATGATTCAAAGTAAATTGGCAAAAATGATGATTGTCCCAAAAACGTTAAGAGAATCAAACCTATGATAAGACCCACATGTAGAAGAGCACTGCACCCTGATGCCTAAACTGAGGTACAGCAGAAAAACATGATTCACCAACAACAGCTTCCCAGGATTGTGATAACTACAAATGGAGAAAGGCTTTTGAATGGACCAGTAAATTATGTTAGTCTGAGTCATGAAAACCTCATTACTGTGACCACATTGTTATGGAACAACACTCTTCATCAGAATGTGAAACATATATGGACTGGATAATAAAGGGGATTACCTCAACACAGTCTTTCAGCCTGGTAAACCATTTATTCAAGTATTTCCAACTCAGACAGCTATTTATTTATTTTTTTACATTAAAAAGTTCACTAGTGCAGGTCTGGCCTCCAATCACAGAGGCAGACTTAGATATGATAATATTAGAACATGAAAATGGTCAACATATACAGTGGGAATTCCTAAACCTTCCCTTATCTTGCTACCTTTCTTTCACACAGACATACTTCTCTACATCACAGAAGGCAGAACTTTTACTCTATCTCCTCCCCTTTCTTTCTCTCCGCAACATAGCTCTGGTGGTCTGTTCACAGCTTCTGAGTGTAGTCAGACATCCCACCCATCTTCTCAGAGGAACACTAGCGTTCAGGATGGAGCGGTTGTAGTGTGGGGCAGACTGACTGACGTGTGTCTTTTCCATGTTAGACCACCCCAGTGGGATTCACACCTCACAGAGGATGACAGGGAAATCTACATGGATCCGGGGGTGGTTTAGCTTCACAATTCCCTGCAAACAGATAACAATATCCACGCTATTAATTATAAACAACACCCAAAGGTAACTGGAAACATTTCCAACACTGTCAGTCTGCTCACCTGAGGGATGAGGTTCTTCTGAATCCTCTTCAGCTTGGACCTCTTCCGGCCATTTTTTGTCACCACAGTCTCTTCATAGAACTCATGAGCCAGGTCCCCATCCTCGTCATAGTAGAGAGAGCTAAAAACACAAAAGAAAAATGAGCAGAATGGAAAGCACTTTACTCATTTAAAGATCTACCATGTGGTAGATTATATACACATATCATATAGGCCTACATATTATTGCATTTAGCACACATTATTACCTCCTTCTTGTGAAAATAAATGGGGTTGCTTTTCTGGTCCCTTTGAGTCGGGCCACAGACTGGTCTTCTTGCCCCTCACTGCCTGAATCCCCTCCAGCTCCTGAACCAGCAAATGGCCAAGCACCTTTCACCTTGGATCCACTGCCTCCCATCTTCAGTGATGGGACATTATCCCTTGTCACAGAAAACTCCTAGGCAACAAGTATATGAGCTGGCCAGCCAGTCAGTTCTCTACAGGTTTGGATCTGAAAGCAAGAAGCCATAGGTACTGTTGCTTTAGCTAGCCTAATAATGTTACCACACTGATCAAACGTTGCAAACAATAGCTAGCTAGCTAGTAAGCACGCTAAATAGATAGGTTACCTAGCTAGCGCCAAAAGGTAACTTAGCTTACTACGTTAGCAAACGAGGTTTCCCCAGATGGCCTAACGTTAAGTAGCTTGCTAACTAACACTGTTCAAATTGCAGTTAGCGAAGTTTGAGAAATATTGCAAATATATTTAGTAGAGCTTTCAAACTGCTAACGTTATCAACCAAAGTTAGTTAGCAATCCCAACAGTTCCCTGGCTGTTTGCTAAGCTTCGCTAGCATAGTAATCAGTTAGCTAGCAAGCTAAGCTAGCTAACGTTAGCTAGCTCAATTTGCCAGCTAACCATTTATAGTGACAGCATTTACAGTAACATATTTCTTCTTTTAGCGACGTGACTTCTATCCAGGATTCAGTGCTCACTTGGATTCCTCCCCCTTTTGCGTAACGTTACGGTAGTGTTTTATCAAATATAGCCAAGATGGCCAGCTAGCTAGCTACAGACCCCAAACAACAAGTACACACTGACTCTGGTCCAAACGAACGAAAGAACGGACACGGTTGGTCAGCTGACCTTGCACATGAGTCACAGCAATAATGTAGCTAGCAGTACAGAGAGGAATATGATGTATCTAGTAGTTTGCTTGACCGAGCATAGGTATTTCTGTCCCTCACACAGCATCCTTTACTGCATACCACTGTGGTTCATATATATACACACACACACACACACCTCCGTGGTAAACCATCCCAAAGACATTAATAGGGACTTTCTCTGTGTCAACTACTCCTCCTATCCACAGTGCTTGACTTGGACTGAAATAGGTGCCGACATTTTGGGTGCCGGTACTTTTTACATTTAGGTGCAGGAGCACCACAATACTTTTGAGCTAATATTCTATAAGAGGAACAGGAGCTCAAGCAGCTGAAAAATGGAGGTGCTGGTCCTCAGCTCAGGTGAGCTCCTTCCTAAGTCAATCACTGCCTATCCATAACTGCCAAGTGGGGAAAGAATTCCCATGAATAGCATTGTTTAGCTAATTAATATCATCCCAATAGCATACCCCCACTACCAAGAGACACCACACTTTTGTAAATGAACTTGTTTAATGTGAACAGTGCAAATCTATTATTATTTAAACAAATATTTTGACACTGGACATATGTAACAGAAAAATGTTGTAAATTGAAAAGAGGATAGTCAAGGCCAGTCAAGTTATTATTTCAAGAGATATAGACATATTCTGATAATATGAAACAAATTATCAGTTCTATTATTTTGTTGTTTTAGAATGTCACAAAGAACATAAAAAAAATAGACAATACAAATATACAAACATTCCATAAAAAGCACCAGCTTCCAGTTCAAAGTGTTAAAGTTTCAGGACGATTCCCCTATCAATTAAATCGACCTGGGATTGTCCTCTAAATTGACATTCACAGTGCTCCCAACACATGGGGCACTCCCACTCAGCCTCAAAGGGACAGCAAAAAGAGTGACATCCATCACAGTATGGATGTGCAGGAGGTATATGGCAGACATTGGGGTCAAATGGAAACCTGGGGTACCTGGCCCATAATGTCCATCGCTTATTATTCTGACTAGCATTAAGGCCTGGAGATACTGAAGCAGACGGTATCTGAATTTGTTTAACATTTGTCTGAGCTAATAGGTTGGCTACCCTTGTATTGCTTGGCAGTGAAGTAGAGAAACAGGCCTTTTGATTTGTTTGACCCCACTCGGGTTGTCTCAAAATTATCTTTGATCGTTACCCAACAGCTATAAATGATAGAATCTATGGACCCTGCTGCCAGCAAGAATAACAGGTGATGAACATTACGAGTCAGGTAGCTTACCCAGGATAGTCAAATGGCACCCCCATAATGAGAGGAACTACTGGACAAAGCCACTCTCTCATCAGCCACATTTTCATATACTCGCTCTCTCTCTCAACTCTCATTCTCTCTCAGGCACAACAGACTCTCTCCAGTTGTACAGCACTTCTGATTTCTCTCACACTCTCTTGCCCGCTCGCTCTCATGCGCCCGCTCGCTCTCATTCGCTCTTTCATTCTCCTCCTTTGAGGGAGGTGTCGAGTTGTGTTCTCTGGGATCTTTGGATGCAGTGACTGGTCATCTTCTGATGGTTGTCAGTCAGAGGTGCAGGTAGTCCCATAGGGAAGCTGTTTCTCAGCCAGGGGTGGAACCACCAGGGGTGGAACTAGCAGCTTGGGCCTCCTGCATCCTGGTGCGGGCTAGTGCGTAGCGCTGCACTATCTGCTTGACATGCTCCTCCTCCTCACGCTGTAGCATGCGGACAAAGTTCTTAAGCTCTGGCATAGAGAAGGCATCCCACTGGACAGAGAGAGGAGGGAGACGGAACATAAGTGTAAGCTGCACAATGTGAAATTACCATGTTGGTTTGAGAATGAATGCCCAATGAATGCTCAATACTCACGTTGACCTCTCCAGTCTCATTCCTCTTTCAAGACCAAACTGAGGGCTTTCTCATTGGGTCCAGCACACAGACGCAGGTGGAGTGGGCGCTCGTCATCAGACAGCTTACGCAGGAACACTGAAATACAGGAAGAGGAAGGGAGACAATGGAATTAAACAACTGTATGGCACCTCTTAGTATTTATCAATGTGATGTCAGTGCAGAAAAAAGACAAGTCGTGCTATCGCAAAACCACAGACAAGAGGTTACAGAGGCAGGCTTACCTTGGTCATGGCGCTTTGTGCGCTCAAACAAAGCAAACTTTGCAGGGTTGTCCACCACAGTGAACTTCTTCAGCAAGGCTTCGATGACCTCACGAGCGCGTGTGCGGGAGCTGATGTGTAGGTGTTTGGACGTATCCTTGGGCAAGTAAAAAGAGGTGCGACGCTTCACTCCCACAGTCTTCTTGCCTGCACCATCCTGTGTTGCATTACCCTTTCTTGGTGGGGGAACTGACACGGGTCGTATCAGCTTGAACTGGACCTTTATGAAGCCAGTGTAGGAGCCATCTTTGTTCTGTTGAAAAGAATGAAAACATATAGAAATTCATACTCACGAAACTTATTCACATTAACACACTATCAACATGTTGAATAGTGCAGTATTGCAGTTGAGCAATAACTAAATTACTGTATAAAAACATGGTAATACAGACAGTGTTCGAGTAATTACAATGTTACTACTTACTACAATGGTATTCAAGCGATTGTTCCTACTCACCAGGTTCATGAACAAGTTGCTGTTGATTTGAGCATTGTACTCCTTCACCTTCTGCTGGATCTCTGTGACTGACAGATCCTGCTGCTTCCCCCATTCAACCTGTTCATCCTGACCAGAGAGAAGGGAGTCAATATTTCAATTAGCCATTCATTGTTTACTCATTCATCTTCTTAAGCTGAAAGTGCAAGACAGAAAAGGGACACATTGGTGTTCTACCACCAGGTGTCAGCAGAGCACCAAGGTTTAACGTTTTGGTAGGGTAGACTGAGCAAGTGTTTGGTGGTTGCAGCCCTGTTCCAAATCAAATCAAATTTTATTTGTCACATGCGCCGAATACAACAGGTAGATGTTACATTGAAATGCTTACTTACAAGCCCTTAACCAACAATGCAGTTTTAAGAAAGAATACCAACAAAAAAAATACAATATAAAATAATACGAAATAAAGTAACAAATATTTAAAGAGCAGCAGTAAAAATAACAATAGCGAGGCTATATACAGGGGGTACCAGTACTGAGTCAATGTGCGGGGGCACCGGTTAGTCGAGGTAATTGGGGTAATATGTACATGTAGGTAGAGTTATTAAAGTGACTATGCGTCGATAATAAACAGAGAGTAGCAGCAGCGTAAAAGAGGGGTGGGGGGCAATGCAAATAGTCTGGGTAGCCATTTGATTAGATGTTCAGGAGTCTTATGGCTTGGGGGTAGAAGCTGTTTAGAAGCCTCTTGGACCTAGACTTGGCGCTCCGGTACTGCTTGCCGTGCGATAGCAGAGAGAACAGTCTATGACTAGGGTGGCTGGAGTCTTTGACCATTTTTAGGGCCTTCCTCTGACACCGCCTGGTATAGAGGTCCTGGATGGCAGGAAGCTTGGCCCCAGTGATGTACTGGGCCGTACGCACTACCCTCTGTAGTGCCTTGCGGTCGGAGGCCGAGCAGTTGCCATACCAGGCAGTGATGCAACCAGTCAGGATGCTCTCGATGGTGCAGCTTTAGAACCTTTTGAGGATCTGAGGACCCATCTGAGGACCCATCCCAATCGTTTCAGTCTCCTTAGGGGGAATAGGTTTTGTCGTGCCCTCTTCACGACTGTCTTGGTGTGCTTGGACCATGTTAGTTTGTTGGTGATGTGGACACCAAGGAACTTTAAGCTCTCAACCTGCTCCACTACAGCCCCGTCGATGAGAATGGGGGCGTGCTCGGTCCTCTTCTTTTTCCTGTCGTCCACAATCATCTCCTTTGTCTTGATCAAGTTGTGTGATGTGGGCCTATCTAAACAAACAATCCACAACCTTTTATAATGAATAGTACAAAAATACAGGGGGACAGTTGAAGAGGCATGACATATTGACCAATTCACCTAAAGATTTAATTAAGAAAGCTTGGCTGAGAAATCAGTCTAATGCAAATTCATAGAGGTGACCCTTGGGGTCACGGAGGGGAAATTAGATTTCAGGAGTCTTGGGGAGTCAGGTTCAAAGGGGTCAGAGTTCAGTAGAGCAGAGGACTAGATTGGGTTTGGTGAGAAAAGGAAGCACTAGACTGGTGTAAATCAAAATGGTATTGGAATGAGAAACTGCATTACTACTTGTTGCTGCTTATAATAAATGTGCAAAAAATAAATTACTTATATTATTTCTCAGACTATAGCAGCCTATGCTTCACAGTGCTAACTTCCTGTAAGCTCCACCCCTTCTTTCACAAAGTTATCGCTGGTTGCATCAGATTCCAAACTTCCTGTCAACGTAGCCATAGTCTATGATAGGGAAGCGGTGGACCACAATGATGTCAGCACTGACCAATCCCAGTTCCTCAATTCCTCCTATCTCTGTAGAGGGAGGCATCATGGGGGGACATGCAGCTGTTTGTAATGTCTGCAAAGGCTTTGGGCAGCATTCCTTAAAGCTGTGTTCATGTAAAAATAGCTGCCCCCCTCAGGCAACCCCCCCGCTTGAGAGTCAGACACAAAGCCTTCTTCTGTTTTATAGAGGCATATCCTGTGGAGTCAGCTGCCTAATCCTCACAGAATCTCAGTCATCTTTCGGCAATTTACATTTGGCCTCCAGCATCGACAAGACATTTAAATGTCTCCCATGGACACAGTAACCACCACAACTATGCACTTCCTGTGTCTAATGGTCCTTCCTTGCTTCCTGTGTGAGAATGTCATTCAAAACATGTGATGCACAGAACTCTTCTTCCTGTATCAATTGGAGAACCAGCTAGCCCCAAATTGTCCTGTTGACAGTAGCTGCTTTTCATAGGGGGGAATCCATAGATCAATACTCATAAATCCTCCTGGCATGTGTTAACATCAGCACCAACATGATCTGTCCTCTGGGAGAAAGTCTCAAACTCTCATTCTACCCACAACTACATAAATCAATGTCAAGTTGTGCAAAATCGGATCAATAACCTGAATCCTAATGCAGATTGAAATGGTGTTAAAGAGATTCTCCGGTACTTTTGTATACTTTTTAGTCGGTAGTTCTGAAAGTAGAGCTCACAAACCAAAAGTGGTCCCCGAAAACTGCATACTACGTCACATATGTGCAGATACTGTATGTGCACCACGTCATTGCTCTCTCTCTGCTGTGTGTGCATGATGTGCCTCTTGCTAGCTGTCACTCATATTGTTGAACTCAAATTGCTAGGGGGCTGGCCCATGTAGGGCACATACTAGGGAAAATGGCCAGGGGCATAAGTTGGGTATGCTCAAGGCCAAAAATTTAAAAGTAGGCTCAAATAATTCCAATCCCGATTAAAATGCAATGACTGTTTAGCGTATTGACTGGCTGGCTTTAGGACCATGCGGAGCATCACTCCAGAGAGAGAAGCTGCCAGCCTTCAAATTAGTGGATTTGGCTATTTCAGCCACACCCGTTTCTTACAGGTGTATAAAATCGACCACACAGCCATGCAATCTCCTTTTTAAAACGTTGGCAGTAGAAAGGCCTTATTGAAGAGCTCAGTGACTTTCAATGTGGCGCCGTCATAGGATGCCACCTTTCCAACAAGTTAGTTAGGCAAATGTCTGCCCTGATAGCGCTGCTCCGGTCAACTGTAAGTGCTGTTATTGTGAAGTGGAAAGTGGAAACGTCTAGGAGCAACAACAGCTCAGCCACGAAGTGGTAGGCCACACAAGCTCACAGAACGGGACCGCCGAGTGCTGAAGCGCATAGTGCGTAAAATCGTCTGTCCTCGGTTGCAACACTCACTAACGAGTTCCATACTGCCTCTGGAAGAAACATCAGCACAAGAACTGTTAGCTGAGTGGTGTAAAGCTCGCTCGACTCTGGAGCAGTGGAAATGCGCTCTCTGGAGTGATGAATCACGCTTCCCCATCTGGCAGTCCGATGATTTGGCAGATGCCAGGAGAACGTTACCTGCCTGAATGCATAGTGCCAACTGTAAAGTTTGGTGGAGGAGGAATAATAGGATAATCAAAAGATAAGCTTCCCCCTAAAGTAAATTGAATTAAATTTGCCAAAATTAGCATTATAATTACTCTTGCCTATACAGAAATAAAACAAATCATTCAAAATACTACACCAGAGAGCATGATTTGGCCACAGAGGATCATTAGCTTCTTTTAAAAATGAGCTGTGGATTGTTTAAGCGCGCAATTTGGTTAGCACGCGGCAAATAGCCTACCAAATAGCTGATTGTTGAGTTGAATCGGTTAGTGAAAAGCAGTTAAATAGGCCTATCGCAATATTTCAAAATATAATCGTAGGAAAAACAGTTTAGAAAGCGAATGGCTATTGCGGAAAAGAGAAGACAAAGAAAAGACTGATCTGTCTCTAGTTATCAACACGTTCAAGGAGCGAACAGTAGCCTATCTCATTGGCACCAGTGGAAAACATACTATATTCCCGGTGAGTGCGCGCATATTCACCGTCTTTATCATTGGATCAGTACCACTGGAAAGTTTTTTGGGGGAAATAATTTCCTCCTCCAGGCTAGATGGACGTCATATTGTACAATAAGTCTCCCCTTTTCTTAGGCCTAGATTAGATAGTTGCATTCAAGACTAGGTCGTTTTTACTGATCTGTTTTTCAAGTGTCAGCAGAGTAGGCTTTGATCTCTTATGTTTCTCCAGTCATATAAAGTGTAGTAGAATTGCATGAAATGTGATTATAAAAGGCCACATTTTTCCAGTGCAAAGAAAGGAGTGGAAACGTCTCTGATTAGGCCTACTCTATGTCACTACACACTCAGGCATACATTGTTCAGTACAGTCTGTTTTGCTAACAGTGATTGAGTTATATTATTAGCCTAAATTAGGACTATGCAATCTACTCATCACAGGAATATTAGCTGCAGAGTTGTGGACTCGAGTCACATGACTTGGACTTGAGTGTGACTCGAGTTACAAACTTGATGACTTGAAACTCAACTTGATAGAAAATAAAGCCTCAAAACTTGGGACTTGACTTTGACTTGAGACTGACTTGAGATTTCGGGTGAGCTAGCGAACAGATTGCTAATTTTCTTTACAGCTATAGGATTGGGTGCAGCGCAAATGTCAAATTGTAGGGAGAGAGGATTGCCATTATAAATAAATATACAGCTCCCAAAAAAATGTGGAGATCAAGAATATTAACTGTTTAGTTAGCAAGCTCACCAGCAATGGGGCATCAAGGAAAATTAGCATAGGCCCACTGGTCTTGTGGTATGTCAAAATTGCTTGAAATGTATACATTTACTTATGAAGTTTGTATTTGGAATTTGTTGTTAAAATTAATTATTACTGTGGCAAAAACGCACCAGAGGCGCGTCTCTCCACTTGTGCTCTCCAAACTCCCACCAGTGGAGTGCGCTTGTTCTCTTGTTGAAATGCTTGCTGTTGCATTCTTTCACACATTTAAATGCACATGTGGTAAATCTATATTCCATCTAATCCTACAATAATTGCTAGCATTTCATCATTCCATCCCCGTAACGTTTATTTTAACACTTAGACATTTCTATTTCATGTTTGATACGATACATTTTCATGTAGCCTACCATTTCTTGACCTCTGAGTGGGCGCAATGTTTATTGTGCACATGAACGTTCTCAAGACTCATGAGGTAGAAGTTCTGTTTATTTAATTCAATGTATGGTTTACATTGTTCATATTTCCCGGGTTATGTCGGAGTGCCTTGTGTCTGTGTCCAATGTCTCGGTCTGTCTGGTTGTGCGTAATAGAAGCGTGCAAGCCTCAGTGCGCACAGAAATAGGCTACGTGGCTTGCACGCCACGCTTTTGAGTCAATACGTTGAATAAGAGAAAATGATTGTTCCATGTATAAATGGTGATGAAATATAATTAAAGTCTGATTAAGACGAATGTACCAATGTAACAATGGAGGTGGAAATTGTCTTTTACATTGTAGAACCAGTTTATTGGTTCAGGGTTCGTACAGACAGTGGCAAGTCAAATTCAGGGACTTTTCAAATACAAATACTTTCAAATTCCAAGTACTAATATTTATTTTCAAGGACCATCAATTTGTAATAGTTCCTATTATGCAATTGTTTCTAGTCGCCACTGGATGGCAGTATATCGCCACAACCTCATGAAAAAAACCAACTAACTTACTATTCATCACTACCTTACAGGTTCTACTCAATAATACGTTTCACTACTTATTTATATAATTTCAGTCAACTGCTCCTGCCAAGGTCAGGCTCCATTCAACGTTAGCTTCTAACTTCATCCTTCTAGCCAGCTAGTTATATCTAGCTACCTGACTAACAGCCAGAGCCCTTGAACTACCTAGCTAGCTAGACTAAAATATCAGCGACTCATTTACCAGTTGTACACTCATTTTCCAAGAGTCAGGTTTTTTTTGTTTGGGGGATGTCTGGTGACAAGGCAGGAGTCGAGGGATCTTTAAAAAAAAAATTCCTACTGTCAGCGGCGTCTCTCTGCTACATGCCACTGTAGGTCTGGGCTAAGGTAGTTTGTTTCAACTCTCGTTCTGTCGTGGGCAGAGTTTCCCGTTGGACAGAATGGTGAATGAATGTGCTGCTAACATGGCAAATCTAGGGGAGCAGGTGAACATAACGAGCATATGTGAATCATTCATGATTCCACTTGTTCGCAGAGGTAGGCACGATTAGAACTCAGATCAAGAAGCCTTCGGAGCGTTGATCAACGCTGGGAACGCAATAATAAGTGGGCAAAAGATAATTACCCAAATTAAAAGGTGATTAAACGCTATTTCACAAATAAAAAGTTGCGTAAAAGGCGTTTACCCTCCACTACATACCCGGTTGGGTCTGGCAAAACCCATTCATAAACATCAATATCCTGCAAGGCAGGATTGGATCTACATTTGCCCAGAATTTTAGCTATCGATGTGATGTTTGGCGGTGCCTAACCAGTCAGTTCTGTACCTGCATGGCTGAGTGGCAGTGTGGGTGGAATGAGCGAGCTAGCCTGGCAACCAGAGGACAAAACACGTGAGGAAATAAAACTCGGTAGTCTGCCTGGAAATTAATTCGCAAGACCAATACATTGTTGTAATATTTTTCATATTAACATATTTGATCATTTTCTGTTCTCCTCTCTTTTTAAGTACAGTGGGGGAAAAAAGTATTTAGTCAGCCACCAATTGTGCAAGTTTTCCCACTTAAAAAGATGAGAGAGGCCTGTAATTTTCATCATAGGTACACGTCAACTATGACAGACAAAATGAGAAAAAAATATCCAGAAAATCACATTGTAGGATTTTTTATGAATTTATTTGCAAATTATGGTGGAAAATAAGTATTTGGTCAATAACAAACGTTTCTCAATACTTTGTTATATACCCTTTGTTGGCAATGACACAGGTCAAACGTTTTCTGTAAGTCTTCACAAGGTTTTCACACACTGTTGCTGGTATTTTGGCCCATTCCTCCATGCAGATCTCCTCTAGAGCAGTGATGTTTTGGGGCTGTCGCTGGGCAACACAGACTTTCGACTCCCTCCAAAGATTTTCTATGGGGTTGAGATCTGGAGACTGGCTAGGCCACTCCAGGACCTTGAAATGCTTCTTACGAAGCCACTCCTTCGTTGCCCGGGCGGTGTGTTTGGGATCATTGTCATGCTGAAAGACCAAGCCACATTTCATCTTCAATGCCCTTGCTGGTGGAAGGAGGTTTTCACTCAAAATCTCACGATACATGGCCCCATTCATTCTTTCCTTTACACGGATCAGTCGTCCTGGTCCCTTTGCAGAAAAACAGCCCCAAAGCATGATGTTTCCTCCCTCATGCTTCACAGTAGGTATGGTGTTCTTTGGATGCAACTCAGCATTCTTTGTCCTCCAAACACTACGAGTTGAGTTTTTACCAAAAAGTTATATTTTGGTTTCATCTGACATTCTCCCAATCCTCTTCTGGATCATCCACATGCACTCTAGCAAACTTCAGACGGGCCTGGACATGTACTGGCTTAAGCAGGGTGACACGTCTGGCACTGCAGGATTTGAGTCCCTGGCGGCGTAGTGTGTTACTGATGGTAGGCTTTGTTACTTTGGTCCCAGCTCTCTGCAGGTCATTCACTAGGTCTTGCTTGTTTGTAGGTGAAATATTGCTTGTTTGTAGGTGACCAAATACTTATTTCCCACCATAATTTGCAAATCAATTCATTAAAAATCCTACAATGTGATTTTCTGGAGAGAAAAAATCTCAATTTGTCTGTCATAGTTGACGTGTACCTATGATGAAAATTACAGGCCTCTCATCTTTTTAAGTGGGAGAACTTGCACAACTGGTGGCTGACTAAATACTTTTTTCCCCCACTGTACCAACTTGAGAAAATTTCAGATTTTCAAGGTATTCCAGTACTTTCAGAGTGCCAAATTCAAGTACTTTAAGCACCTTGTGCAAACCCTGTTGGTTGTATTTGCCAATTGGATAATTGTATGGTCCTGGGTGGGGCCAAGTGCTTATATGTACCTGTTTGAGGTCCTGTTAGACAGATCCATCTGGTTTCTCAAGGGGAGGCTGTGCAGTCTTGCCCTCTACCTGTGTCCATTCAGATAGGACAGGTTAAGCCTGATAAAGAGGCTATTTATTTTTGCCTGTTGCCCGTGTACATTTGGTAAATGTTGTAAGATATCATTGGATCACCAAGACCAGTAAATAAATCTACACTTAGCACATCAACCCGCCTTATCTTCTGCTGATTTCATGCCCTTGTGACTGCTACAAGGTCCCTTTTTTACAATTACATCATCAGAATATGTTGTAGACAAAATAATGAAAAGGGCTGTCTGGTTCCTCAATAAATAAACAAAGATTTGTAGTTGAACAAGTCATTGCATCGATATGTTTTTTACTTAACTTGAAAAAACATATGACTCGACTTGCTCTTACAATGCACAACTTGGACTTGACTCGAGACTCGGACCTTGTGATTTGAGACTTGCTTGTGACTCGAATAATAGTGGCTTGGTCCCACCTCTGTTAGTCTGCAAATGCGATGCATTATAAAGGTGCAATTTTACAGTTAAAACAATTGCTTCCCCAAACCTGAAACTCACGCGCCACCTATGGATGTCGGCATTTGAAATCGGCCATGTTGTGACTTAATAGTGTGTATTATGCAACCATTTCATGTTGCACTGTATGCACCCTTCCACACCCCTGCTTAGGTTTAACTGAACTCATGCCACTGAGCACAGCTTTCAGAAAAACAGTTACTTTCAAACAGGGATTTCGTGGCTAATTGAGGTTAAACAATAATTCTGCTCATAGGTTATGCATGTATGAACTACCCATTGACACATCCAGCCCAAAGGATGTTTGAAAAATACTTAGTATTCACCAAAGTTACAGAGCATGTCTTTAATGTATGTCCTGCAACTAGTAAATAAGCAATCACAAAATGGAAGCCAGAACAGTCTACTAAGGAGTCACCAATTTTTACTGTGCTGTTATTACTGTTTTTACTGTACTGTGTATAACATTATCTAATGTATTCACTCAAGATACTGTAGAAATATGAGTTAATGAAACATGATCAAATGTTGCCATTCCCCTTATGTCTAGTAGGCTACTCATTCAAACCCTCCAGAGATGTGCGTGCAGGCTTGTGTGTGCAAGCTTTGTAAGTGTGAAGCAATGGGAGTGAAGTAATTTGTTTCTGAATGATCCAGAGATGAATAGTACATGACTAGTGTGTGTTGTGAAACTTGAGGGGTATCATGGGTGCGTCACTAAACTCTTGAGTGGTTCTCAGCATCGGGATATATGAGTCATCCTTGTAATATGAGAAACACAGTAGATCCCAATTTACTTTTTAGAAAGAGGGTAGTTACTACTACTACTGCAAATATGACGACAACTTCAGATGACCATTTTCTTGGATATGTCATTTGAAATACACTAGTATATGCCTCTATCACGTCATACCTCTATTATAAATTATAATATAACATAAAGGAAGTTACACACAAGATTGTCTAGCCTATTATGCATGAACATCAGTGAAGGCAGAGGAAGGAATAGCCAACATCTTATTCAATAACTCTTATTCAACTGCTTGACAAATTGTTCTCCTCTCACCTTCTCTTTCTTGGGTTTGGGAATGAATGATGTGCGAGCTGTGAAGTACTGCTCGAACTCTGAATCTGAGTCCCCACTGCAGTACCCGCTGCTGGTGGAGCTGCCCCACGTCTTCTCGAAGGACAGGCTTTTATCCGAACCGATGACCGTGTCTGTCATTATCAAAATGTTACAATGTAACCAACCGTCTGGACCGATGTTGCGTTTAGAATTTGCTACAATTGGTCAGGTTTTTATCTATTTCGGCTTGGATATGACCACTGAGAGATGTCGTTTCCCGTTTAATAAGACAAGTTCTATCTACAATTGTAGTATCCCGCTGTAACAAACGTGTAACTACAGAAACGTTAAAACAGATAAGAGTGTAAAGTAATAAGGACTGCTAGTATAGTTACTATATCCCTGTAAACTTCGACAATGTTGTTCTAAAGCGCGTTTCTGTCGGTTTCCTGTTCAATCTGGCCACGTTTCAGCTTCTCACAACTAGTTGAGAACAGCATGATGGACCAGCCCCCGCCTTTCCATCTCTCTCCCGGTTTTGACTAGATGGGATACAGCTTCTGTCATATTTGACTTTTCGTAGCAGGTTAGGAACATTTACGCAGCAGGTTGGGATAATTAGGTTAAAGTTGGAAAAAGGGTTGGGTTTTAGTGTTAGCTAATCTTTTGACGTCAATTTGACAAAAATGGTATCCCTTCTAGCCCTTAACTTCCCTCCCCCGGCCCGCAGAGGCCCCACCCAGCCGGTTGAGATTAGAAAATACACAAAACCAACTCAACAGGATATGATTGGGCGCTGAGGGGAAATTCCAACTCCCCAATGGCATCATACCACTCCCTTCCCTGTCTGCCAACAATAAAGGCGACGTGAGATTAAAATCATGTGAGGATTCACATGATAACAGAGTGTGCATGACAAATGCATGACATAAGTAGACATGTAGGCCCAGGGGTTTACAAAGAACCGCACCACGTTAGAGAAAAACATATACACTACCCTACGTATTTATTTGGACCGTGTTGCTAACTCTTTTAATTTCGCTCTATACTCCAGCATTTTTGGATTTGAGATCAAATGTTTCATATGAGGCGACAGTAAAGAATGTCAACTTCTATTTGAGGGTATTTTCAACGCCAGGGTTGTGGGTTCGATTCCCACGGGGGACCAGTATGAAAGAAAAAAAATACAAAAAAATATATATGTATTCACTAACTGTAAGTCGCTCTGGATAAGAGCGTCTGCTAAATGACTAAAATGTAAATGTACCGTTCAGAAAGGATTCATGTATCTAGTCCCCCCATTTCAAGGTGCTATAAGTATTTTGACAAATGCACTTATATGTGTAGTAAAGTAGTCACGTTTCGTTCGGTCCCATATTCCTCGCACGCAATGACTACATCAAGCTTTTGACTTTACAAACTTGTTGGATCCATTTGGTGTTTGTTTTGGTTGTGTTTCAGATTATATTGTGCCCAATAGAAATGAATGGTAAATTATGTATTATGTAATTTGGAGTCACTTTTATTGTAAACAATAATAGAAGGCAGGTAGCTTAGTGGTTACGAGCGTTGTGCCAGTAACCGAAAGGTCGCTGGTTCTAATCCCCGAGCGGACTAGGTGAAAAATCTGTCGATGTGCCCTTGAGCAAGGCACTTAACCCTACTTGCTCCTGTAAGTTGCTCTGGATAAGAGCGTCTGCTAAATGACTAAAATATAAAAAAATATATATATATAAATATAAGATGTTTCTGAACACTCCTGCATTCATATCGATGCTACCATGATTACGGATAATCATGAATTAATCATGAATAATGATGAGTGAGAAAGTTGCTGAGGCACAATAATCATACCCACAAGCCACAAACATGCTAACTTCTCACCATTACCAATAACAGGGGAGGTTAGCTTTTTTTTTTTTGGGGGGGGGGATGATATTTATGCTTCTAACTTTCTTACTCATCATTATTCAAGATTCATTAATGATTATCCATTCACATGAATGTAGAAGTGTTCAGAAACATCTTCTATTCTTATTTACAATAAAAGTGACTCCAAAATAACACAATACAACATGGGACCAAATACTAATCTTTTGACTACTTTAATACACTATGGGGAATTTGTACAAATACTTATGAAAAAACAACTTTTTCAAATGGGGGACTAGATACAGTGCTTTAATTTCTAAAACAGTAAAACATGTATGAATATACCCTCAAATAAAAGGTGACATTCTGTACTGTCTCATTATTATTTGTTTAATCTCCAATCCAAAATGCTGGAGTATAGGGACAAATGTACACATTTTAGCGTCAATGTCCAAATAAATACAGAGGGGAGTGTAGATCTAACAAGAACAACTAAAAGTGATGCCCATGCTACTGTATCTTAAGTAAATGGTAAGAGAGGACCTGAACTGAAAGGACCTAACACATTATTTCCAGGGGGGTGGAATAGAAAGAAGGCCTCCGTAGAAGGCAGAGTAATAGAAAGAAAAAGAAGAGGAGTGTTTACAAGCGAGTATGTAGACACCATGTCACCACAGTGTGGCCTAGAAGATAGTGGGTAGATAGTGGTCATGACACATGACATGGCGGTGAATGAGGGCTTGAGTACAGAGAACAAATAAATGACATGCATATACAGTCTGTATCAGATCATGAGGTTCTTACCACATTTGTATCGGTCTCTATGGTGTGTTCCATAACACATGTTTGTTCAACTATGGAGCTGCGATCCAAACTGCAATCTAATTGGATAAGAGCGCGACATCTGTAGTGACACGTGAATCTGCAATCTGTGAGAAAAGAGAGGTGAATGAAAAACAGGATTTAATAGAACAGATCATGGGTTGCAATTAAAGTTGTGCCTTGTCCACCAGTTCTCTACATTTTGAAAGGCCACTGTCTACGAATAGATCAGCCATGACGACACACAGATGTAAGGAATGGTTGGCTATAAAAAAAGAAAGTGGCGCCCACTGGCTCAGAAACGTCCATTTCGTAGTTTTGGGTCATCCCTCCAGTTCCATCCCTCCAGCTTTGGGACATTTTGGGATTCTAAATTGTCTGCTGTCCTCCACTGGCTACAGGGAGTCATTACACGTTTGACAGAGAACAAAACTTGTCACTGACGTATTTGACTTCAATTTGGTCACAAACAGGACATTATTAGACAAGGATTGCTAGAACGTAGAGTGATTATTTTACAAATGAACAGGTGTATATTCATGTAAGGAGATTCATGTAAGGAGAGATTTTACCAGCATATTCACATATGCTTCAGACATACACTTCAGACATTTATCTTCCCACAAATCTAATGGACACACATTACAATACAAAGGACAGAGGACTGGTTGTGATGAAATGCATGGTAGTGAAGCGTTGACTTCCTGCCTGAATGTAATTGGTGTCATATAGCCAACCGCAGGTGTGAGTTGCCGTCCAATGGCTCTTCCAGTCTAGCTCTAGTTAGTTCCCTGTATGGCCAGAGAAAAGGAAGTTCCTAGTGTAAACTTGGAAGACTATGCAAGAGGAAAGCGGTGCAGGATACCAACCAACCGACAGCACCTATACAAAGACACAACAAACCACTAGAACCATCTCAACACCCTCATGAATAGACTGCCGCCAACTGCTGATTGAATCTGGGAGTCTTGTTTTGACACAAGTACTCAAGAGCTAAAACTGGGTCTGGGATTTCAAGGCAAGCGGTTTGGTTCTCAGCTGGTTATTTGCTGCTGGAAATGGTCATGTACATCTTTGCAGAGACTCCTCATTAAAGCCTATTCAGATCTAATGAATACTAAGTCCTGTGAATGGAGCCAGTCTCACAAAAAGCCCATTTAGTCCAGCTGAGAAACAATGACCCAAAGCTATACGACCTGGCACACACATAAACAAACACAAATATAGCCTATGCACAAACAAACAGGCTATATAATACCTTAAAACACATTCTCATAGCCCTAGTGAAACCTTTCAACACTTTCAGAAAAAAGGGTACGGTTACAACAATATCAAAATACACATTATGTACCTTCAGAGGTACACATTGGATCTCACATGGTACTGTTCGGTACCTTTTAGGGTAAATATGCGGATAATCTAGTATAATGGTAAATTTTTGTACATAATATTTTGAATATAAAGGTACAATCATTGGCTTAGTGGGGGCATGACATTCAGTTAGTTCTTTTTGGCCACCCGTGAGTTGAAGTTTGGTACCAGTTTAAGCGGTCTATGATTATGTTAGTTGAGGTTGAGTATGTCCGCTGCCACTTCTGAAGTCATTATAAAGGCTTACATAAGAGCATGTGACAATAAAAAGCTGTAATTAATATTGTAGCAATCTCAAAGATACCTTCTGGAGGATTGAAAACGGCCTCATTATTTATTTTTTACTCCCGTTTTGGACTCAACGTGTCAATGTATGGCTCATACATGCATAATAAACCATCTGCAGTTGTCTCCCAGCATAGAAAGGCACAACATCCTTACATTCTAACCTGCCATTATCTAGTCCACGGGAGACGTGCTCGTTCATGTCATGTAGTGAGCGCATGCTCTGAAGCGAGTGGGATTGCCTGACTACTTGACCTTACCATTAGTTATTTTTATAACAGCGAAAATACATAGAATATGTCGATCAAATCCTTGCATCCTAAGTTAGAAAACATTTGAAAATTAGAAGTTAGATCTATTAGACGCCAGTTGTAATTTCATTTCTCTCTTTCAATAGCCTACATTTCTCTGTAAGCAAGCAGAAAATGATGTGTGCTAAAGATGGCATTGTAGCCAGACAAATACATTAGAAGACAATTGTCAACCCGATCAGAAACCCTATGCTCACAACCTGAATCTCCTAAATGATATCGCTGGTACATTTTGTTAGAATTTTTGAATATATTGCTCAAAATACTATAAGGTTTTTATCCAGGCGCGAATCACGGACACAATAACACATAGTTGATGCGCTAGAGAAATGTATACCGCAAACTTTCACCCACTTACTTTTTAGCTAAGAAAATAATCGCCCTACCTTTCTGTTGTTTCAACCATCCATCCCAATCTAATAGTTCCATGTGTCCGTCCACCTTTTGTTCTTATACGTGCACACAGCAGGTGTTCCATGATATGGGGTATAATCCAAAACTGCAGTTGATTGCCAGCGATCATTATTCATCACGTAGACAAATACTAGGCCTATATATAATCATTAAACAGGAGTAGGTCATTTGATGCAAACATATACTGTAAGTAGGTTATAACTTTTCCATTGTATAAATTACATTATCACAATCGCTTGCCATACTAGTCTGTACAACGGGAATTAGCCACAACCAAGCTTGAGGGACAATGTTGATTGCCAGGTGGAATTATGTCCAATGAGGTTGCAAGGTTAAAAATGGGAGGCGGGATTAGATCGGCACAGCATTGTCCAATGAAGTTGTGGGGTGAGGCCAAGCATGTGCACAGCTCATGAACACTCAGGTTTTTTTAAATTCTCTTTGTGCATGCTAGAGGCAACGACGTGATAACGAAGTACACAACTTTCGGGGACCAATTTTGGCTCGTGAGCGCTACTTTCAGAACTACTGGCTAAAAAGTATACAAAAGCACCAGAGAATCTCTTTAACCCAACACTGAGCGACCTTGTCAAGAAGTATGGACCTCTTGACGTTGACTTGGCAGTTGCTGGACCCAGGTTCAAGACTTGGTTGGGGCTACCCCTGAACTCCCTACATTAGTGTCAGAAGTGGGATGTCGGAGAGATGTGTACACATGAGGCACTTGGTATAGAGAAGAGGTACATTTTTGCCACTTAAAAGGAACAAATGGCTTTGTCACTGTGGTGGTAGCCTAAAAATTAAAATGTTAACCTTTTGTCTATTTTAAGGTACTAACTGCAAGGGTACAATTGTGTACCTATAACTAATGGTACAATCAATGGACGTACCTTACAGGGTACCACTACAGTGACAAGCGTTTGTACCCCTTTAAGTACAATTCTGTACCTTTATTCTGAGAGTGTAGACATGCAATTGTAAAGCATGTCACGCTGCTTCCTTAGTGAGTACCACTTCCTCCCGATTCGGCCCATACCTGCCGCGAACTCAGGACATCTGCTTCACAAACACACATGACTGTCCTCCCTCAAGCGTCTTAGTCGATCGCGCCACCTCAAAAGCTAGCTAATGAGTCGACGCAAGCGGCTTAAGGCTGAGGAGTAAGTTTCACGTGCTACACAATCATAATCATGACATGCACTCACATATACATACATGTCAGTGGAGGCTCCTCAGAGGAGGAAGGGGAGGACCATTCTAGATAAAACTATACTAAATATAATCACGTCACCAAATAATTGATTAAAACACACTGTTTTGCAATGAAGGTCTACAGTAGCCTTAGCAGCACTCTGTAGGGTAGCACCATGGTGCAGCCGGAGGACAGTTAGCTTCTGTCCTCATCTGGGTACACTGACTTCAATACAAAACCTAGGAGGCTCATGGTTCTCACCCCCTTCCATAGACTTACACAGTAATTATGACAACTTCAGGAGGACGTCCTCCAACCTATCAGAGCTCTTGCAGCATGAACTGACATGTCCACCCAATCAAAAGATCAGAGAATCAATCTAGTACTGAAAGCATAAGCTACAGCTAGCTAGCACTGCAGTGCATAAACTTTCACTTAGCTAGCAAATGCAGCTAGCTAGTTTAACCTACTCAAACAGAGAGGGATGCTATGTTAGCTAGCTGGCTATCTAACACTGGAACTCTTCCAAGTCAAGGTAAGCTTTTGGTTTTATTAATTTATTGCCACCGGGGCCGCCGTTGTAACTGCTAAACTGCTCTCTGACTGTACACTGTACTGCATGATTGTAGCGGGTTTACTAAGGCGGTAGTTCTAGGAGCTATGTTGACTATGACGTGACAACGACGTAGGCTGTGTGTAGTAGTTAGCGGTCATGATATGAAGGTTTGGAAAAAATGTTTTGCCTGGAAACAGACAGCTGATGTGTTGTACACTGAAGTCCACAAGCACAGGGATGTGGCTGCTATGAAAGTGAACTGTGTTCGGCATGTGATCAGGGGTGTATTCATTCTGCCAATTCTGTTGAAAAACATTTATTAAACGGAAGTAAACGGAACGAAACGGGGATAAACATACCTGAATTTGTCCAATAGAAACTCACATTTGCAACTGTTGGACTAATGATTACACCCTAGATCAGCTACATGTTGTAAACGTTCATTCATAGGCTAGGTTGTAGCAACCTCATGATGGGTACAGGGAAAATATGAGTATCATGTAGTAGCCTAAACATATCGATGTTACATTGAGCTAGGTGAATGGAATATGAATGACAGTCATCCAATATGCTGTAAAAGAAATAAGGCCATGCTCATAAAAAAAAAATAATGGCCCTCCCTCATCTTAAACGGCACCGACCGCCACTGATACATGCAATCATAATCATGCACTCACACACAAGTAAATCCTGTATAGCAGGTAGACTCACTGGCACAGCGCAGGCTCTGTTTGTACAGTCCCCAGATGAAGTCTCCACACAGGTCACACCAGGTGGGCTGGGCATGGCTGCAGGGCTGGAAGTCATGTCCCTCTCCCCTCTTATCTGTGAGCTGTGGGTCCAGGCTGTCCCCCAGCATTCTGATGATGCCCACCCGGCTGAGCAGCTCTGGGACCTTCCCTGGGCTGATCCGCAGAGCATTGGCACGCTCCAGGCGAGGTGGTGAGCGAGGCACCTCGCAGCTTGTCAGCTCTATCCGGTCATGGTCATGTAGCCTCAGCTCACGGAGCTCAATGAACTCACCCCAAGACATTCTGTCAGTCACAACTTCAATTCCTTCTTCATGCAGAGGCAATCATCACACCTGTGACCAAAACAACGCACAACCTCAATCCAAGATCACCATAATGAAGCACCAACTCAAGGACAGGACATAGGCCTACACCTAAAGTACACTTTTAGCCCTAAATTGTGGGGAGAACTTCCCATACAGCTATGCATTCCTTTCACTATTATTAAAACCATGGTTTGAACAAAATACTGTAGCTTATTGTGTACTGAGTATGACTGAATGAAGTCTCAATTGTCTGTTTCTCTACATCAATTGTCTGTTTTCGGCCTTAAAATACTTTGCCATTTGCAGCACCAATAAAGTGGTCTACTCGGCAATAAAATAGAAGTTTGAGTTTATTAAACCGATCTGTGCTTCAGAATATATTTTTGTCTTTCATTTTCTAACGGGACGATTTTTTTTTTATGTTGAAGGAACCCCGTTGCCATCTACTATCCATCTCCAAGGCAATTAAAAGTAAACTTTCATCCCATCAAATGTCAAGTTACATGGTTTTAAAGTCTATGATTCGAATAGGTCACCAACATTCAAGGCTTCAAACATATCGTGAATAATAATTGTAAACTGCACGCAGGGTGTTCAGCATCCCAAATGGATTTATGATGCGAACAACCTAGAAACACGAGAAGCATTGCACAATTCTCACTGGTTTAGTTTATGTTAATAATAATTAGATAAAACGTGCTATATACTTGTTTTGAAAGTTTAACAACTTACCAAAACAGGGGACCACCCCCGCAGCAGCGGATGCCTCGTCTCCAACGCTCTTCTATTTTACAAAGTTTCCATAGAAGTTATTACGAATAACCGACCGGAGGTGTGCAGCTTCGCATCTGGAAACAATGTATAATCGGCTACATAACCGAAATACCACTCTTCCGAAAAACATGACTATAAGAAGCATGTTTATTTTGTAACCATCCCATCACCCAAGCCTGACACACCAACATATGATACAGACAGTAACAATTTAATAGCAGAAAGTAAAGAAAGTGAAGAGCTGCCTACTGTTCTTGACATGCGGAATTCTTTCACATAGGGGGTGCTTCTGAGTCTTGAACAGTAGAGCAGGAGGGGTGGGTGTGTAAAACCCCCATCGCCATAGGACACTGTACATCTGTAGGCCTATTTGACTCGACAGTGACATTCAAATAAAACTACCGTAAGGATAATAATTTGCCTAATCATCCATTGACAGCTTATGTTATTAACAGTGTGAACTACAGTAGGAGTTAAAGACATGGTAGCCACACCTTTTTTTAAAAGTGGTGTGCAGAGTCTAAACAATCAAGTGGATAAAGTTACTTTGAAATACAACCCTGTGAAATGGATACCTTGCTGTTACCCGAACAATAGGCAGATTCTGATCCCAGGAACACTGACCAAAATGATGAGTCAAAACACCTGCAGCCACAAACTTAGGAGTTTGTCTTTTTTTTTATATTTCAACATCTATAACAGAAGCATAGACCTATTTAATTGTTATAAATGTCTAAAATGTGCAAAACAACTTGTAAAATTACAAGCTACAACAGAGGAGCCCATTATTGTCTTGAGTTCTGCTCCCTCCGAAGTTCAACCTGTGAGTTCCACTCAGTGTCAGGTCTGAGATAGGGATAGAAAAGGCTTAGCAGTTCATTACCTTCATTACCTTCATTAACCCTTCTAATCACGAGTTAGATTATCATTGTAATCATTGTAATTCATAAAATCTAGAAGTTGGAATTGAATCGAGTCAAACCTCAAAATATGTAGATTAACGGTGCAAAGCCATAACAACTGCATTCGAATCCCATCCCAAATGGCATTTAGATGGAGAACTGTCCATTGACTTGTCACCTTGTTAGCCCCTTCTCTCTCCCACCACTCAGTCCAATATGTCAGTTATGTCTGCCTCTCTCTCTGTAGGCGTTACGGTCAGGTCCTTCTGGAGCTTCTCTGTGGCTTCAGCCATCAGCTGGCAGGCAACCTTGTGTTTGGACCAATGCTTCACTTGGCATTCCCTACAAGGACAGAGCAACAACACTTAGAATCTCATTCAGCTGTACACAGTAGAATCTCCTGAACCAAGGGGTGTGAATAAAACCAATGGCTTTTTCATAGTCTTTTGAGTACATCTTTCATTGCAAGACTAGTAAGAGATTCAAAATAAAAGTGGCAGAACCATTCTCTTGATATTTATTTAAGGAGATGCATTTCCCTGTATAGTGTTTCACTGTAACCAGTCTTACCTCTGGCAGTACCATTCTCTCTGGCAGCGAGAGCATCTCTTAGAAGCCTCGGCCCCACAGGCTCCACACTTGGGCTTCTCAGGGATCAAACTCTCCATCACATCCAGGTTATAGGTCTGGGCCAGTCTAAACAAAGATGATTCAAATTCAAAAACAATATAGATTGGAACAGAGACAGAAAGATCCACATTTGTATGTCTGAATCCCATCCCATGTTCAATTCTCCCTTAAAGATTTTGGTCTCGCCTCCCGAGTGGTGCAGCGGTCTAACGCAATGCATCGCAGTGTTGCGGCATCACTACAGCCTGGGGTTCGATCCGGCTGTGACCGGGAGTCCCATTGAGCGGCGCACAATTGGTCCAGCGTCGTCCGGGTTAGGGGAGGGTTTGGCCGGGGGGGCTTTACTTGGCTCATCACGCTCTCACGGGCGCCTGCAGGCTGACTTCCTCCAACACATTGGTGCAGCTGGCTTCCGGGTTAAGAGAGCGGGTGTTAAGAAGCGGATTGACGCATGACTCGACCTTCGCCTCTCCCGAGCCCATTGGGGAGTTGCAGCGATGAGACAAGCACGTAATCACGAAATTGGGGAGAAAAAGGATTTGGTCTCATTCAGTCTCTTTACTAATGTCACCAGTCTCAGTATTACCTGAGTGCTTGCTGTCTCAGGTCCTTCTCCGAGGGGTTGAACGTTTCCTTCACTTGGTACTTGGCAATGGCTTTCCACTTCCCTGTATTGTCCCGCATAATGTTGTTCCACATCTCTGGAATCTACAAGTAAAAGGACTATATTTATTTGTATGACAGCAATTCATTGTTTTTGTGTGTGCATGTTCCTGTGTGTGTGTGCACACATGCATGTTCCTGTGTGCGCGCGTGCATGTTCCTGTGTGTGTGTGTGTGTGTGTGTGTGTGTGTGTGTGTTCCTCACCTGTTCCAAGATTAGGTCTTTCTTTGGAGGGGCAGGGTCTGTGACAGTGAGGTGACTGAGGAAGCGCTGGAGCTCTACCAGGTTGGGCAGCTGGTCAATTAACACCTCTGTCATGAAACCTCGTAGCTACACACAAAATATAAAAGGGTGATTTTCTGACATTTCATGGTTTAAGTTTCAGATTGAGTTAGACTTTTATTGTACTGCGGTCTGCATTGTGGTCTGTTTGATAGACCACCTATGCTATCCTGCACAGAGTTCTCAGAGCTCATAATGCTATCCTCACATACGGTCAAGAAGGAGAGACAATCATGGAAATAACAGTAATAGGAAACACCGCAGTCAAAACAGTAGCTGGATACCTCATCTGTCTTCTAATCAGAGGGGAGATCAGATACGATATTAAAGGACAATGATGTGGCACAGACATTCTTCCTGAGCTTTAGTTTTGACCATTAGGTTTTAGAAGACACTATAGTCAGAAGAGCCAGTACTGGCGGAGGCTGCCGTACCTTTAAGAGCTGGTTCTTGTTGAAGTTATTGAAGTCATATTTCCTTTGGCAGTCTTCCTTCAGCACCAGGTTGTACAGAGCAATCCAGACTTGGCCGTCCAATTTGGTCATCTTTAGACGGTCTTCGGATGGAACCTTCTGCCATTTTCCATTCATGTACTTCTCCATCACGCCTGTAGAGGGAGACAAAGGACAAGTAGTGAGTGATATGTTGGGCTATTTACTACATTTTTACATTTTAGCTCTTCTTCAGACCAACTTCCAGTAGGGAGTGCATACTTTTTCGTACTGGTCCCCCATGGGAATAGAACCCACAACCCTGGTGTTGCAAGCGCCATGCTCTACCAACTGAGACACACAGGACCTAGCAATGGTCATCGTAATGGTTAAAAGGTTTTAAAAACAATTTAAATAAATGCAACAGTCGGATAATGAATGAAGATATTCCAAAATTTTAATTTTTATAATCCACAGATATTGACTGAATTATAGCGCATAAAACATTTTACTGGCATGGACAAATAAAGAAATGGAGTTCAGTGATTTTCGTGGGATTTTTTTTTCAAGAATGCACTCATTTGAGAGAGGCCTGTAATTTTCATCATAGGTACACGTCAACTATGACAGACAAAATGAGGAAAAAAAATCCAGAAAATCACATTGTAGGATTTTTAATGAATTTATTTGCAAATTATGGTGGAAAATAAGTTTTTGGTCAATAACAAAAGTTTCTCAATACTTTGTTATATACCCTTTGTTGGCAATGACACAGGTCAAATGTTTTCTGTAAGTCTTCACAAGGTTTTCACACACTGTTGCTGGTATTTTGGCCCATTCCTCCATGCAGATCTCCTCTAGAGCAGTGATGTTTTGGGGCTGTCGCTGGGCAACACGGACTTTCAACTCCCTCCAAAGATTTTCTATGGGGTTGAGATCTGGAGACTGGCTAGGCCACTCCAGGACCTTGAAATGCTTCTTACGATGCCACTCCTTCGTTGCCCGGGCGGTGTGTTTGGGATCATTGTCATGCTGAAAGACCCAGCCACGTTTCATTACATTTACATTTACATTTTAGTCATTTAGCAGACGCTCTTATCCAGAGCGACTTACAGGAGCAATTAGGGTTAAGTGCCTTGCTTAAGGGCACATCGACAGATTTTTCACCTAGTCGGCTCGGGGATTAGAACCAGCGACCTTTCGGTTACTGGCACAACGCTCTTACCCACTAAGCTACCTGCCGCCCTTCATCTTCAATGCCCTTGCTGATGGAAGGAGGTTTTCACTCAAAATCTCACGATACATGGCCCCATTCATTCTTTCCTTTACACGGATCAGTCGTCCTGGTCCCTTTGCAGAAAAACAGCCCCAAAGCATGATGTTTCCACCCCCATGCTTCACAGTAGGTATGGTGTTCTTTGGATGCAACTCAGCATTCTTTGTCCTCCAAACACAACGAGTTGAGTTTTTACCAAAAAGTTCTATTTTGGTTTCATCTGACCATATGACATTCTCCCAGTCCTCTTCTGGATCATCCAAATGCACTCTAGCAAACTTCAGACGGGCCTGGACATGTACTGGCTTAAGCAGGGGGACACGTCTGGCACTGCAGGATTTGAGTCCCTGGCGGCGTAGTGTGTTACTGATGGTAGGCTTTGTTACTTTGGTCCCAGCTCTCTGCAGGTCATTCACTAGGTCCCCCCGTGTGGTTCTGGGATTTTTGCTCACCGTTCTTGTGATCATTTTGACCCCACGGGGTGAGATCTTGCGTGGAGCCCCAGATCGAGGGAGATTATCAGTGGTCTTGTATGTCTTCCATTTCCTAATAATTGCTCCCACAGTTGATTTCTTCAAACCAAGCTGCTTACCTATTGCAGATTCAGTCTTCCCAGCCTGGTGCAGGTCTACAATTTTGTTTCTGGTGTCCTTTGACAGCTCTTTGGTCTTGGCCATAGTGGAGTTTGGAGTGTGACTGTTTGAGGTTGTGGACAGGTGTCTTTTATACTGATAACAAGTTCAAACAGGTGCCATTAATACAGGTAACGAGTGGAGGACAGAGGAGCCTCTTAAAGAAGAAGTTACTGTTATTATTGTATCAGGTATTTTTTTTATATTTTGTGTTAAAATAAAGAAAATTATATGTGCCTAATTTGAGTAAATTTACTGGGTGTATTCGCATATATGAATAAATTAACATACTACAAAGGGAAGCACAGCCGCGAGCTGCCCAGTGACACGAGCCTACCAGACAAGCTAAATTCCTTCTATGCTCGCTTCGAGGCAAGCAACACTGAAGCATGCATGAGAGCATCAGCTGTTCCGGATGACTATGTGATCACACCGTATCTGATGTGAGTAAGACTTGTAAGCAGGTCAACATTCACAAGGCCGCTGGGCCAGAAGGATTACCAGGAGGCGTACTCCGAGCATGCGCTGACCAACTGGCAAGTGTCTTCACTGACATTTTCAACATGTCCCTGACTGAGTCTGTAATACCAACATGTTTCAAGCAGACCACCATAGTCCCTGTGCCCAAGAACACTAAGATAACCTGCCTAAATGACTACCGACCCGTACAGTGCTTTGCAAAAGTATTCATCCCCTTTGGCGTTTTTCCTATTTTGTTGCATTACAACCTGTAATTTAAATGGATTTTATTTTTGGATTTCATGTAATGAACATACACAAAATAGTCCAAATTGGTGAAGTGAAAGGAAAAAAATAACTTGTTTCAAAAAATTCAAACAAATAAATAATGGAAAAGTGGTGCGTGCATATGTATTCACCCCCTTTGCTATGAAGCCCCTAAATAAGATCTGGTGCAACCAATTACCATCAGAAGTCACATAATAAGTTAAATAAAGTCCACCTGTGTGCAATCTAAGTGTCACATGATCTCAGTATATATACACCTGTTCTGAAAGGCCCCATAGTCTGCAAATCCACTAAGCAAGGGGCACCACCAAGCAAACGGCACCATGAAGACCAAGGAGCTCTCCAAACAGGTCAGGGACAAAGTTGTGGAGAAGTACAGATCAGGGTTGGGTTATAAAAAAAAGAATATGGCACCACAACAAACCTGCCAAGAGAGGGCCGCCCACCAAAACTCACAGACCAGGCAAGGAGGGCATTAATCAGAGAGGCAACAAAGAGACCAAAGATAGCCCTGAAGGAGCTGCAAATGTCAACAGTGGAGATTGGAGTATCTGTCCATAGGACCACTTTAAGCTGTACACTCCACAGAGCTGGGCTTTACGAAGAGTGGCCAGAAAAAAGCCATTGCTTAAAGAAAAAAATAAGCAAACACGTTTAGTGATCGCCAAAAGGCATGTGGGAGACTCCCCAAACATATGGAAGAAGGTACTCTGGTCAGATGAGACTAAAATTGAGCTTTTTGGCCATCACGGAAAACACTATGTCTGGCGCAAACCCAACACCTCTCATCACCCCGAGAACACCATCCCCACAGTGAAGCATGGTGGTGGCAGCATCATGCTGTGGCAGGGACTGGGAAACTGGTCAGAATTGAAGGAATGATGGATGGCGCTAAATACAGGGAAAATCTTGAGGGAAACCTGTTTCAGTCTTCCAGAGATTTGAGACTGGGACGGAGGTTCACCTTCCAGCAGGACAATGACCCTAAGCATACTGCTAAAGCAACACTTGAGTAGTTTAAGGGGAAACATTTAAATGTCTTGGAATGGCCTAGTCAAAGCCCAGACCTCAATCCAATTGAGATTCTGTGGTATGACTTAAAGATTGCTGTACACCAGCGGAACCCATCCAACTTGAAGGAGCTGGAGCAGTTTTGCCTTGAAGAATGGGCAGAAATCCCAGTGGCTAGATGTGCCAAGCATATAGAGACACTTCAAAAGACTTGCAGCTGTAATTGCTGCAAAAGGTGGATCTACAATGTATTGACTTTTTTTGGGGGGGGGGTGAATAGTTATGCACGGTCAAGCTCTGTTTTTTTTTGTCTTACTTCTTGTTTGTTTCACAATAAAACATATTTTGCATCTTCAAAGGGGTAGGCATGTTGTGTAAATGAAATGATACAAACCCCCCAAAAATCCATTTTAATTCCAGGTTGTAATGCAACAAAATAGGAAAAATGCCAAGGGGGGTGAATACTTTCGCAAGCCACTGTAGCACTCATGTCTGTAGCCATGAAGTGCTTTGAAAGGCTGGTCACGGCTCACATCAACACCATTATCCCAGAAACCCTTGACCCACTCCAATTTGCATACCGCCCCAACAGATCTCTATTGCACTTCACACTGCCCTTTCCCACCTGGACAAGAGGAACACCTACGTGAGAATGCTATTCATTGACTACAGCTCAGCGTTCAAAACCATAGTGCCCTCAAAGCTCATCACTAAGCTAAGGACCCTGGGACTAAACACCTCACTCTGCAACTGGATCCTGGATTTCCTGACAGGCCGCCCCCAGGTGGTAAGGGTAGGTAACAACACATCTGCCACGCTGATTCTCAACACGGGGGCCCCTCAGGGGTGCGTGCTCAGTCCCCTCCTGTACTCCCTGTTCACCCATGACTGCATGGCCAGGCACGACTCCAACATCATCATTAATTTTGCCAACGACACAACAGTGGTAGGCCTGATCACCGACAACGATGAGACAGCCTATAGGGACGAGGTCAGAGGCCTGGCCGTGTGGTGCCAGGATAACAACCTCTCCCTCAACGTGATCAAGACAAAGGAGATGATTGTGGACTACAGGGAAAAAAAGAGGACTGAGCACACCCCCATTCTCATCGACGGGGCTGTAATGGAGCAGGTTGAGAGCTTCAAGTTCCTTGGTGTCCACATCACCAACAAACTATCATGGTCCAAGCACACCAAGACAGTCGTGAAGAGGGCACGACAAAGCCTATTCCCCCTCAGGAGACTGAAAGGATTTGGCATGGGTCCTCAGATCCTCAAAAAGTTCTACAGCTGCACCATCAAAAGCATCCTGGCTGGTTGCATCACTGCCTGGTACGGCAACTGCTCAGCCTCTGACCGCAAGGCACTACAGAGGGTAGTGCGTACGGCCCAGTACATCACTGGAGCCAAGCTTCCTGCCATCCAGAACCTCTATACCAGGCGGTATCAGAGGAAGGCCCTACAAATTGTCAAAGACTCCAGCCACCCTAGTCATAGACTGTTCTCTCTGCTACTGCGTGGCAAGCGGTACCGGAGCGCCAAGTTTTGGTCCAAAAGGCTTCTTAACAGCTTCTACCCCCAAGCCATAAGACTCCTTAACAGCTAATCATGGCTACTCTGACTATTTGCACTCTCTGTTTATTATCTATGCATAGTCACTTTAACTCTACCCACATGTACATATTGCCTCAATTACCTCGACTAACCTGTGCCCCCGCACATTTACTCTGTACCGGTACCCCCTATATATAGCCTCTCTACTGTTATTTTATTTTACTGCTGCTCTTTAATCATTTGTTATTTTTTACTTAACACTTATTTTTCTTAAAACTGCATTGTTGGTTAAAGGCTTGTAAGTAAGCATTTCACTGTAAGGTCTACACCTGTTGTTGTCACGCCCTGGCTCTGGGGACACTTGCATGTTGAGCCAGGGTGTGCATTTCATTTGTTTATCGAGTATGGGTATTTCTATGTTGGCTTGAGTGGCTCCCAATCAGAGGCAACGAGTGTCAGCTGTCATTGGTTGTCTCTGATTGGGAGCCATATTTAAACTGTCTGTTTCCCATTTGTTTTGGGGGAGCTTGTTTCAAGTCTGTTTAGTTTAGACCGTGAACTGTCACGTTTCGTTTGTTGTTTTGATCGTGTCTCTATTAAAGACTATGTTTGCCTGCAACGCTGCGCCTTGGTCCTCATCATCTATTCTAGACGATCGTGACAGTTGTATTCGGCGCATGTGGCAAATACAATTTGATTTGATTTGGAACAGGTCTGCAACCACCAAACATTTGCTCTGTCTACCCTACCTGCACTCACCTGCACTGTCTAGACTGCCTCATTGTTGTCACGTTCTCTTGCATAATTCAACAAGTGTGTCAATAGCAAGATACCCACAGATTATAAATCAACACGCTTGGCCCTAGATTACACTAAACATACACTGTTTGCGAGATCAGACATAATATCACTATAATCCTAGTGTTCATTCTCGGAAGTTACTTTCATTTCAATTCATCTATTTTTCCTATTTTGTTGCCTTACAAACTGGAATTAAAATGGATTTTTGGGGGGTTTGTATCATTTGATTTACACAACATGCCTACCACTTTGAAGATGCAAAATGTATTTTTTGTGAAACAAACAAGAAATAAGAAAAAAAAACTGAAAACTTGAGCGTGCATAACTATTCACCCCCCCAAAGTCAATTGGATTGAGATCTGGGCTTTGACTAGGCCATTCCAAGACATGTAAATGTTTCCCCTTAAACCACTCGAGTGTTGCTTTAGCAGTATGCTTCGGGTCATTGTCCTGCTGGAAGGTGAACCTCCATCCCAGTCTCAAATCTCTGGAAGACTGAAACAGGTTTCCCAGTCCCTGCCGATGAAAAACATCCCCACAGCATGATGCTGCCACCACCATGCTTCACTGTGGGGATGGTGTTCTCGGGGTGATGAGAGGTGTTGGGTTTGCACCAGACATAGCGTTTTCCTTGATGGCCAAAAAGCTCAATTTTAGTCTCATCTGACCAGAGTACCTTCTTCCATATGTTTGGGGAGTCTCCCACATGCCTTTTGGCGAACACTAAACGTGTTTGCTTATTTTTTTCTTTAAGCAATGGCTTTTTTCTGGCCACTCTTCCGTAAAGCCCAGCTCTGTGGAGTGTACAGCTTAAAGTGGTCCTATGGATAGATACTCCAATCTCTGCTGTGGAGCTTTGCAACTCTTTCAGGGTTATCTTTGGTCTCTTTGTTGCCTCTGATTAATGCCCTCCTTGCCTGGTCTGTGAGTTTTGGTGGGCGGCCCTCTCTTGGCAGGTTTGTTGTGGTGCCATATTATTTCCATTTTTTAATAATGGATTTAATGGTGCTCTGTGGGATGTTCAAAGTTTCAGATATTTTTTTATAACCCAACCCTGATCTGTACTTCTCCACAACTTTGTCCCTGACCTGTTTGGAAAGCTCCTTGGTCTTCATGGTGCCGTTTGCTTGGTGGTGCCCCTTGCTTAGTGGTGTTGCAGACTCTGGGGCCTTTCAGAACAAGTGTATATATACTGAGATCATGTGACACTTAGATTGCACACAGGTGGACTTTATTTAACTAATTATGTGACTTCTGAAGGTAATTGTTTGTACCATATCTTATTTAGGGGCTTCATAGGAAAGTGGGTGAATACATATGCACACACCACTTTTCCGTTATTAATTTTTTTGAATTTTTTGAAACAAGTTATTTTTTTCATTTCACTTACATTCCATTACAGGAAATCTAAATCAAAATCAATTTCAATTACAGGTTGTACTGCACCGAAATAGGAAAAACGCCAAGGGGGATGAATACTTTTGCAAGGCAAAAGATTCAACAGAAAGCCAATGTATTCCATTGAGCTCATTTCAGCCATAACTGGAGTGTGTTTGACAGGTCTTTACAAACATTAACGCAGTCGTAACATTTACAGGAAAAAAACGACAGGCACAAGCAAGAGTATGAAAGCCACAGGACAAGTGGATTTTGCACCCCTCAAACACAGGAAATAGATGGCTGAAAAAGACAGATCCTCAGGTGGGCGGGGCATGCACATTTCTAGTACTACACTGTAACAACAAGGCTATGTAGGTAAAAAGATGGCCATTGTTTTGATATAATCATATAGATGGGGGTATGTGGAAATTGTATGATCCATTTTGTCCATTTGCATGAATACACGTTCAGTGACCAACCTGCTGAATAGCGACTCCAGGGGCTGTGCTCTACCAGCTGTACCATCACACAGGGCAGGTTATGGGTGCACAGCATCCTATTGATCACACTGATGCTGTGTGTGAGAGAGAAATCACAAACAATACATTTCACCACATGACAGAATGACTTTTTGATAGTAGGTAAGGTATTTGAAAAAGTATATGCGAACGCTAATTTCCCACCTGTCCGTATGGTCAGTGATGTAACGCAGGACAGACAGAGCCTTGAGGGAAATTTCAAACTCTAATGCTGCATTCTGACTCTGCAAATCCTGCATCAGACACACAGCACAACAGAACATTTACAATCCACACCACTGACCAAAGTAAATCCACCATCCTGACTTGCAATGGCCTGACTATAACGGTTGCAGCTGGAACCCAGACAGCTCCTGTAAAGAGGAATCCACCCTGTACCTGTACAGAGGATGATTCTCCACTCTCTGTGTGACTGAGTCTGTCTTGGGTTGGGGTGTCATCTCTTGATGCTCTGCTGGCCAGAAGGGTTAGTTTGCGGTGGCAGTAGTCCACCAGGTCCAGGACTGAGTCGTCTGCTGCGTCACAGGAGTCCTGTAACCAACAAACACAGAAACAAAATGTATTTGGGACATACTGTAGTCTATGTGATGTCAAACAGACACTGCATACATTGTGCTGGTACTGAGGCAAGTGTACAAATAAGTTCTCACCTTGTGAAACATAATTGTCTCAAGCAGGTTGATGATTGTAGCCTCATGGTGAATCTATAGATGAGAAGGGAGAGGCGGAAATTAGATGGAAACATCTAGGGAGTGTACAGTAGTGACCATTGTGTGGGACATTTACATTTACATTTAAGTCATTTAGCAGACGCTCTTATCCAGAGCGACTTACAGTTAGTGAATACATATTTTTTATTTATTTTTTTATACTGGCCCCCCGTGGGAATCGAACCCACAACCCTGGCGTTGCAACCGCCACGCTCTATCAACTGAGCTACATCCCTGCCGGCCATTCCCTCCCCTACCCTGGACGACGCTGGGCCAATTGTGCGCCGCCCATGAGTCTCCCGGTCGCGGCCGGCGGCACAGTTAGCACTGCGATGCAGTGCCTTAGACCACTGCGCCACTCAGTCACACATTTTGGCCCTTTGTCCCTAGACCAAACAATGTCCCGCATTTTATCAACAAATTAAAACACCACTAATTTACCCAAAAAAAATCAGTCAGATTTCCTATTCATTTGATGAGAATTGACATTCCAACCTCTCTTTTGCCGTCACATTGTAAAACAGTTAGGAAGGGAGACTTATCTCTGGATTGTTTGAAGCAGCAGCGAAAATGTTGAATGAGCAACTAATGAGCATGGAGAGCCTCACAATTTTAACGAAATGACCTTATATCTTTCAGTCTAATAAGGCTATTTACTTACTTTTGTTAACTCTTCATTAGAAGTACTATTTTTGTAAGTAGTTAACTGTCCTCTTCAAGTTTAGCTGGAATTTAGCCAGAAATTTGACAAATGTGATTGGTTGACGATAAGACATTGGACTACATCAAGATATAGGCTATATCATAAGGATGTGGTAAACACCTCTCCAATGGTTGTTGAGATAAGATATTCTTTGCAGCTCAAGATGAGACGTAGGCCAATGTCATATCATCAACCAATCACATTTGTCAAATTATTTCGGGCTAAATTCCAGCTAAACTTAAACAGCTCACTAGGTGGAGTGGAATTTATTATTGTAGGCTACACTGTTCCGCAAAATCTTCCCGTTGTCCAGATTTTGGTATTTTAAATGTGGTCACCCTAGTGTACAGGTACAACATGCACTGCTGTTGTACCTTGTACATGTTGTACCTGTACAGTGCATTCGGAAAGTATTCAGACCCCTTGACTTTTTCCAAATGTTGTTACATTCCAGCCTTATTCTAAAATGGATAAAAAATTAATAAAAAATCTCATCAATCTACACACAATACCCCATAATGACAAATAATACCCCATAATAAAAAACAGAAATAGCTTATTTACATAAGTACTCAGACCCTTTACTCAGTACTTTGTTGAAGCACCTTTGGCAGCGATGGGGTCTGAATATTTTTGTCAGAGCGGATTGTCGGGGGAAGGAACATAATTATAATAATGTGTACACTGCAAATTGACCACAACTAAGCCCAAAAAGAAATTGTATTTGAAAATAATAATTTCATACCTTAATTACTATACATCGAGACACTATCAAATCTGTTTTTTATTCGTGGGAATACTTGAGAACAGATTTCCTAAATTAAACAAATGTTTTGCTGAATTCCTATTTTTTAAAACCCAAAACGAAATATCCCCCCTGGTATATGCACTCACCACCATGTACAGAGGAAAGGTGCTCTTCGGATTGAAGTCCTGGAGCTGACAGAGAATAGGAAACACCTTCTGTTTCCAAAGCTCTACCAGAATCATCTCATGGACCAGGGTGGGGATCTAGGGTGAAAAAAGGGGGACAATCAATTACCTGTTTACATGTGCAGTAACCTGTGTAGTATCTTTTTGGTCCATCAAAAAAAAACGGAGACGACATAACACACCTGTACAGGTGACAGCTAATCTAGCGTTATATAAAACAGTTATTACCTTTCCCAGTGACACAAGGAGCTCCTTGACGAACTCGTCCTGAGTGGCTGAAGCGTTCAATATCGCCTGCATGTTGAGTTTCTCTATGTACTCATGCTGTCTGAACCACCTGTCAATCAAATAAAAAGCAATGAATGGAACACGGCTGCCACGAATCTGAATAAACGCGAGCTAGCTTGCAACTTTTGTCTAGCAGGCATTATCATCAGAGCTGGTCTTTGTTGTTAGCTAGCTAGCTAACGTTAGCTCCTAGTAGTAGCCAGACATACTGTACCTTGGAGAGCCAATGTCCCTGAGTGAGAATGTTTCCAGATTTTGGACATATCCTTCTGCCTCTCCGGGAAAAATAACAGAGGTTTCCATATCCCCGACAATAAATGTTTGCACCAAAAAAGGCTGAGTTGAGGGAAACTGTGGAAACTGAGGCAGTTTGGCGTGCTAACTCACTTTACATTCTGTTACCCGTGGTTGGCATGGTTACTGGATACATACGCGTGCGCATTACAGACAGCATGACCACAAGAGACAGAGGTACAAAAAGACCCCCGAGGTGAGACCACCGAGGTAACCCTTGGCAGAGAAGAAGAGGCCAAGGTGGCCAATAATAATCATTAGACTAGGTGAGGTGAGCAAGATAAACAGTCAGACAGTGGGTCACGACGACAATGCATCTTTATTATTGCAAGGAGTTGGTATATACAGTAGAGTTTTTGCACAATTAATAAATAAGCATAATGTTCCTCGTTTTGTGGTCTTTTTGAATTCTTCCATTCATTGTTCTGAATGAAACTATCCCACAACAATGATTGCTTCAAGAGTCTGGATTGGAAAAACCTGAGGATAACAAGTGACATTCTGGTAGTATAAAAATACCTTAGTCTCAGCCTTTGAATACACATAATTTCCAGAACATTTCAGGGATAGGAAGAAGTCTGTTTAAGGCATCTTTAGCCGCGGTTGCTTCACTTTGTCTCTCCTGGACAGCAGGCTGTCTTGTGCATCAGATGGGAGACGAGCAGGAGGCTTCTGTTTTCGTACAATGGGACCTCATGTGGCTCTGCCTGTCTTTGTTTGAGAGAGGGCTTGCTCTATCTGCATCAAAGTCAGTGTGGTTGCTGATTAAGCCAGGGTATCACTTCCAGCACACAATGATGTTTGGGTCATTCTCCAAATGCTCGTCCAGCTCTTTGTAGCTCATTCCTGCAGAGAGAGACCACAGAGTATTGACATATTTCTCAAAATACTTATCCAGTCTAATGATTCATCCTCCTAGACACACTCGTCATCACTATAAAACCATTAATCATGTGACTGGCCATCAGAAATGCCTTCAAACGTACCTGTCTTGCAGCAGATTTCGACGTAACTATGGCAACCAGTGTAAAGGCGTGGCGGGCGGCTCCTTTCGTCACGGGTCACCTTAAAAGGATACTTCTGCAGCCAATGAATTAGAGCCTTCATCAGCCCATAATGGATCAGCCTCCTGTTGAGCATCACATGATATCAACAACAATAACACTATTATATACACTTCTCGGCATAAATATTCATACCATACTTCGTGGTCCATGTCAGCAGCATAAACATCATGGAGGATTGATGACTCACCTCTCATCTACTCTCTGCAGCTGCTGCGAGTAGCGGGAGCAAAGATCGCAAACAGTGGTGCCTGGAGTAAGACCGCAGTACAGCTGGAACACATCCCTTAAACGGGCTCTCTTCTGTCCTGAAACAGAAGTTATCATACACTGACTGTAATAAATTCAAACTCTTTCTGACTACAACTTCCCAAACTGATTGTTACCATGCTTGGTGACATAGCTGAGACACTCCGCCTGAATGGACCTGTCATCTATCAGGCTCTGGACTTTAGGGGTTGTGCAGTACACATTGGAGTACTGGAGACACACAACATACTGTGAGTCAACAGGACTGTAGACACACACACATTTCACATGAAGAAGACACATTATGTAAAGAAGGTATCATTACTGAGGGTTTTAATACCTGAAATATTGACACCAAGGTTACAACACCATAATACCTGTGAGAGAAAAAAATCTGGTAGAATCTATTCCATGGTTTCATAGGTAAATATTTCATTTTCTGTAGCATCATATTACCAGTTTCAAACTACTCACAGTCAATTCTGTACGGCGATCCGGACTAAATTAAGTTCAACATCCGCTTCTGCAGATATCTTCTGGATATGCCTGAACCCATCAATGTAGGCCAGGATCTACAATAAAATTCAACACATTTTTTACAAAATGTTCAACAGTGCTTTAATCTGAGACAGTTTCATGATGACATTACACTAAGAATAGACAGATCATTGTTTCTCTGAAACCCTTGATGTGATGTCAGCCACACTCGTTACAGTAGGTATGCTCTCTGGTTAGCCCATGACTATCAGTTCCATTACACAAAAAAGTCATGGGACGAAGGCGTCGACTGTAGGGGGGAGTTTTGTTAAGAGCCGCGATGCTCGGTCTGAACATTAACATGCATCACTTGCGGTACGGTTTTGGAAGCATAAGGACCATAACTTTCGTATCGGTGAGAAATCATTTTAAAATAACAAAAGGTTAAATTGATACACACCTTTATAGGGAAAGGGTTCCCACACGGCCATATTTCCATGTTACAGCCCTTGTTTACGGAAAAGATACGGAAGACAGAGTGGATTACCTGTGCTAATTAGCCATCTGCATCTCCTAACACTTATGTGTAAACGGAAGGCAGACGCCGCAAACGTGTTGTCACTGAAAAATACTGTTGGCTACAAATGTGTTAAAAACAGTTAAACAGTGTACAGTAAGTGTGTATTTTGCATTTGTGAAATTATTTAGATGTGATATGAAAGTAGAGGGATTTATGTTTCTAGAACCGTAGCGCAATTGAGAATCAATTCAGGTTTTGATGGAGAATTTGGCTGTTTTGGCTTGCAGAGCCAATTCGCCCTTTAAACAGAGCCTGTAAGGTCCTTGGACTAAGAAGTAACGTTAGGCTCCTTTAGTCCAACATTGGGCTAGCTTTCACTATGGATGAGCCATGGGTGTATCTGTGTGAGCTGCTATCAGTGTGGTGGTAGGCCTACCTGTTGAGTGGTGAGATCCCACTGGGATTTGATGAAGTGGTCCTTGCACTGAGTGAAGACAGGCACATTGTACTCCTGCACGGTCAGAGGGTCCCTGCTCTGCTCGATCAGCTTCAGGTTGATTGTATTGGACTCATCTGAATAAGAGGGAGGGAAGAAGCTTGTGTGAAACTGAGATATTGGGGTTTGACCTTTAAACGATTGTCTCACAAATTGCAATTGCACACACATACCGATGGGCAAGGTGCAGGCTCCAGTAGCATTGAGCTCCTCTAACAACGTGGACATAATGGGTAGCAGTTTCTGTTTGCTCTCCTCATTCGATATGAACCCACTCTCCAGCTGCAAAATAAAGAGAAACATTAATACTTTGTTCTATATATATATATATATATATATATATATATATATATATATATATATATATATATATATATATATATATATATATATATATATATATATCGGTAAGCTGCTCTGACAACTGATGCTTAAAGTTAGTGAGGGAGATAAGAGTCTCCAGCTTCAGAGATTTTTGCAGTTCGTTCCAGTCATTTGCAGCAGAGAACTGGAAGGAATGGCGGCCAAAGGGGGTGTTGGCTTTGGGGATGACCAGTGAGATATACCTGCTGGAGCGCATACTACGGGTGGGTGTTGCTATGGTGACCAATGAGCTAAGATAAGGCGGGGATTTGCCTAACAGTGATTTATAGATGGCCTGGAGCCAGTGGGTTTGGCGACGAATATGTAGTGTGGGCCAGCCAACGAGAGCGTACAGGTCACAATGGTGGGTAGTATATGGGGCTTTGGTGACAAAACGGATGGCACTGTGATAGACTACATCCAATTTGCTGAGTAGAGCATTGGAGGCTATTTTGTAAATGACATCGCCGAAGTCAAGGATCGGTAGGACAGTCCCGTTTTACGAGGGCATGTTTGGCAGCATGAGTGAAGGAGGCTTTGTTGCGAAATAGGAAGCCGATTCTAGATTTAACTTTGGATTGGAGATGCTTAATGTGAGTCTGGAAGGAGAGTTTACGGTCTAACCAGACACCTAGGTATTTGTAGTTGTCCACATATTCTAAGTCAGACCCACCGAGAGTAGTGATTCTAGTCGGGCGGGCGGGTGCAAGCAGCGTTCGATTGAAGAGCATGCATTTAGTTTTACTAGCGTTTAAGAGCAGTTGGAGGCTACGGAATGAGTGCTGTATGGCATTGACTGAGGTCAAAGTGGCTGGACACTCATTGCAAAACCTGTCAACAAAACATACTGTATTGTACACCTACTTGGTAGGTACAGTGAGGGAAAAAAGTATTTGATCCTCTGCTGATTTTGTACGTTTGCCCACTGACAAAGAAATGATCAGTCTATAATTTTAATGGTAGGTTTATTTGAACAGTGAGAGACAGAATAACAACAACAAAATCCAGAAAAACGCATGTCAAAAATGTTATAAATTGATTTGCATTTTAATGAGGGAAATAAGTATTTGACCCCCTCTCAATCAGAAAGATTTCTGGCTCCCAGGTGTCTTTTATACAGTTAACGAGCTGAGATTAGGAGCACACTCTTAAAGGGAGTGCTCCTAATCTCAGCTTGTTACCTTTATAAAAGACACCTGTCCACAGAAGCAATCAATCACTCAGATTCCAAACTCTCCACCATGGCCAAGACTAAAAGAGCTCTCCAAGGATGTCAGGGACAAGATTGTAGACCTACACAAGGCTGGAATGGGCTACAAGACCATCGCCAAGCAGCTTGGTGAGAAGGTGACAACAGTTGGTGCGATTATTCGCAAATGGAAGAAACACAAAAGAACTGTCAATCTCCCTCGGCCTGGGGCTCCATGCAAGATCTCACCTCGTGGAGTTGCAATGATCATGAGAACGGTGAGGAATCAGCCCAGAATTACACAGGAGAATCTTGTCAATGATCTCAAGGCAGCTGGGACCATAGTCACCAAGAAAACAATTGGTAACACACTATGCCGTGAAGGACTGAAATCCTGCAGCGCCCGCAAGGTCCCCCTGCTCAAGAAAGCACATATACAGGCCTGTCTGAAGTTTGCCAATGAACATCTGAATGATTCAGAGGAGAACTGGGTGAAAGTGTTGTGGTCAGATGAGACCAAAATCGAGCTCTTTGGCATTAACTCAACTCGCCGTGTTTGGAGGAGGAGGAATGCTGCCTATGACCCCAAGAACACCATCCCCACCATCAAACATGGAGGTGGAAACATTATGCTTTGGGGGTGTTTTTCTGCTAAGGGGACAGGACAACTTCACCGCATGAAAGGGACGATGCATGGGGCCATGTACTGTCAAATCTTGGGTGAGAACCTCCTTCCCTCAGCCAGGGCATTGAAAATGGGTCGTGGATGGGTATTCCAGCATGACAATGACCCAAAACACACAGCCAAGGCAACAAAGGAGTAGCTCAAGAAGAAGCACATTAAGGTCCTGGAGTGGCCTAGCCAGTCTCCAGACCTTAATCCCATAGAAAATCTGTGGAGGGAGCTGAAGGTTCGAGTTGCCAAACGTCAGCCTCAAAACCTTAATGACTTGGAGAAGATCTGCAAAGAGGAGTGGGACAAAATCCCTCCTGAGATGTGTGCAACAAACCTGGTGGCCAACTACAAGAAACGTCTGACCTCTGATTTGCCAACAAGGGTTTTGCCACCAAGTACTAAGTCATGTTTTGCAGAGGGGTCAAATACTTATTTCCCTCATTAAAATGCAAATAAATTTATAACATTTTTGACATGCGTTTTTCTGGATTGTTTTGTTGTTATTCTGTCTCTCACTGTTCAAATAAACCTACCATAAAAATTATAGACTGATCATGTCTTTGTCAGTGGGCAAACGTACAAAATCAGCCGGGGATCAAATACTTTTTTCCCCTCACTGTAATCTTTGGTCCCAGTGTGGGGTGAAACTCACTAAAAAATATACATTCTATTCGACTCTATCAAGACGTGGTTGCTAACAGGACTTTAAACTTTAGCTAGCTAGCTAGCTAGCTACAGTAGTAAACAAAGAAAGAAACTCCAACTGCTTCAATCTCTCGGTTCCCAGAAAATGTGAATGCTCAATTGAAGATACATATTTTTGAAGACCTACAGTAACTGTTATCTAAGTAGTAGCTAGTTGACTAGTCACTCTGTTGTTAGCTAACTTGTGGCTTTGATGACTCCCAATTCCTCACCGAGGGTTGACGGTCTACAGTACTCTAGCCTGCTATCTCTAGCTAACTTAACACTTGATGTGTATCCTACAACTGAGTCCTCTTGTATTTCCTTGTGAATGACGACCAATCTGTTCAAATGTCATTCCAAAAAATATATCAAAGCGTAGAGCGCAGCAACTAGCTACATACAATCGAACAAGTAGCATGCTAGTTGTGTGGCTAGTCGGAAGTAGGAAACTCGGAAATGTACGACTTGATAACAACCAACCCTTAACAGAAGAGAGAGACCAAACTCGGTGGAAAATCTGTCTCCCTCCAACAGGCTGGTGTTGTTTCACCCTCCAGGCAAGGAGTTTTTGTATGGCGGTCAATGAGAGCGTCGAATTTGGTCAACAACAAAATGTATGGCTTATTTGCTACGTGAGGTTTATTTGATCGAAAATAATTGTCATAATGCTTAAGTTGTAACGAGTGTACCGATATAAGTAGGACACGTGACATCCCGGAAACTTTGAGAAAAAACACTTTATATCGGAGTTGTCTCGAGATAGCTATGCATATTCATGTCATGAGGCTAGTAGCATCTCTCTACATTGAATACAGGCAGTTGACGTCAACAACTCATCGAATATTCAAAATAAGATTACAATAATGAGATGTATCCACCAATCAAAAGAAAGGATAGGCGGGAGCTAGACAGCCCGCCAATGCCGCCAACGACTCGAGGTTAGGGCGGAGAGACATGTATCTTGTCAGTATATCCATAATCTTTACCCTTACCTCGCTCTATCGATGAGACATGTTGGAGTTCCCGAACATCACTTACTTATGCTGCGCAGTGCGCATTTCTAATGGATATGTTCCAGGACACGCCAAACAGTCGATGGAGGTCAGATTTGGGAAATTAAATCTAGTAAATGTAAAATAAATGTAGATGCAGTACGAATTAATCTGATGGATGCGATGCAATTTGCGTCTTGATTTAACGTTATTCTAATTTTATGGATCGACATGATATAGTTAACTTTTATTCTGAAAAAGTTAATTAACTAATCTGATGCACTTTCTTTCTAAAAAGGTTAATGATGCCCTGAAATGAATACCCCTAATGAACGATTAAACGTCCCTACCCCATTGAAGTTGACATTTAAAAGGTTTGGGGTTAGGTAAGGGTAATGGTCAAGAGTGAACGTAAACCGGAAAGGTTTGGTACGGAGGACCAACAAAATAAATAGTGGGGGTAGGCCTACGCCATACCGGTAAAACATGAGCCTATCACAATAATTAAAGCTGTAGGCTATTACACTATTTATCATTACCGCATGTCAGTCGCATGAGAAATTAGCGAATATGCTTAAACTTCTGGAATACGCTCCAAAATGTGGTGTGGTTAAATGATAACGCTGACATTTTGCCAAGGCGGAGATGAGTGGCCGAGACAGACAGGCGCGAACAGCAGTGTAGGCTACGCATCAATTCAAGTTAAAATACTTGTGTAGGCCTAATGAATGACAATCACCGATGTCATTCATAACACTTTTTGGTGTTTTATAAGTGATGTCTCTTTGCATTTACCAAATGGCACTGTATGGATGCCGGAATAGTAACTGAAGTCTGGACACTGACTGTAGGCCTCACATGTAGCCTATTATAATATTAACTCCTGCTGAATGAAGTATTCCTCGCTGTAAAATAATAGACCAAATGTTAATTTTGTCTTGGGAACAGGAGTGGAGAAATATTATTTATTTATTTCAGCATCTTGAGATTGTGCATTTAGGGACCTGTTCTGTAGCATAAACGTGCAATTTCTTTCAGAGACATAAAAGCTGACAGTATTTCATCTTCAACCACATAGAATATGCATCTAACACGAACTGAAATACTATCAGAAACATGTTGGATCGTTTTCACAGCTTTTCATTTCCTTTAAACCGGTCACTGATGTCATTTGGAAATCTCCCTGGTCCCTAAACGTCCTCACTCCGTGAGAGAAGCAGAAATTAAAGAGAAAACTTTACCGATGTCGACTAGATTGTTGATGATTCTATCGATTTATGACATTCTGGTGAGAAAGGCTTTATTTGGTATTCTAGATAAGCATCAAGTAATGACAGAAGAGAAGCTGCATGCATCTAATTATAGACAAGTTGAC